ATAATAAATAACCCCCCGCACCCCTATAGTGCTTACGTAATACTTATAGTAGAGTTCTTTTATTTTTTTCAAATTAAATTATAGAAATCAAATAGAGTAATAGAAAATGTTAAAAATATGTAGAAAAAGTAATCATAATCGTCAGTGAAGCCCTTTTCTAATTTAAATCTAAATTCAGTTTGCACGTCAGTAGAGTTCTTTATCACTAAGGTCAAATTAACATTAAATCTTAGAAATCAAAGATAGTGATATGAAATATTACAAAGACCGTCAGTAGAGTGGAATCAAGAAAAATACTAACAATATGTTTATGTAGAGATGAGTAATTTTGCTCTTTAGTAGAGTCCTTTTCAAGTTAAATCTTTATTTAGTTTGCTCGCCAGTAGAGTTCTTTTTGTTTTAATCTGAATTAAAATTAAAACAAAAAATGAAACATTAAAATGAAAAATTTTAAAATTATGTTTATGTAAATGTACTCGTCAGTAGAGTTCTATTGTAACTGAAATCTGAATCTGAAACTTGTCGGTATAGTTCATTATCACCTTAAATTCAAATTTAAAAATAATCTCAGAATAAAAATAGTGTTAACAATACTTGTATTTGACGAAGAGTAATTTCGTTCGTCAGTGGAGACCATTTTTGGGCTAAGTCGTTGCTTTTCTAATTTAAAACCAAATTAAAATTAAATCATAAAATAGAAGTAGTAATATAAAAATCAGCAGAGAGTAATATAAAATTTTAGCAGAGGAGAGTAATTTTGTCATCAGTAGAATCAAACTAATTTAAATAAGACAGTGATTTTTACTTTTTAAATCAATGACATTAAGACAACACATAATTATTCTACGTAAAAAGGTATCACAATCGCATTAATACAATATTGCATCAAAAATATTCAAATAAAATTATAATAAGAAGAATCTTCAATGATGCAGTTATCATAACATTCTTTCTTGCTTTTCTATGTGAAATACGCCTGATCGTACAGCAAATAGATAGACATATTTTCATAGTGTCACTACCAAAAACGTACATAAGATAGCGTTGCCCGGTAATACATTTTTTAAATAAATCGAATTAACAAACTATTTCCAAAACCAAAAATAAGCACTAGCAAAGTATGATTTCTATTTATTTTTTTATTTTTAGGTCAGCCAACGACAGACCAGAAGCCCTCTACGATGGTCCTCACACCATGACCGATGTCATGTTTGCATCTTCGAATTGGAGATTGCAACTGACACGAGATGGTTTGTGACAACCAGCTGTCACCAGGAATTTAGGAAATTATACAGAAAGACCAGAAAATCTACCAGAAGAAATAATAGAAGTTTCTAAATGTTAACGAAATAGACACCAGGATGGTAATCAGATAGTTCAGGAATTATGACTCTTACCATCGTTAAATATTTCTAGTCGAAGGGAAATTAACTTATTGCAAAAGTTATGATTTTATATACAAAATGATGGTTAGTTATGAATTTTGAGCAAACTTTCAAGAAAAGGTGAAAATTGGCAAATTTTTGAAAAAGTGAAAGTTACTTCTGGATTCACTGAATTTTTCATCACAATTTCTCTTCTTGAACTTTTTATATATTTTTAACTTGCATAAGGACTTAAAGTAAATGGTTTTGCCACAAAATTCGGTTTATTATTTTATTATTATATTTTCTTGATGTTTCAAGTCATTCTGAATCGTTTAACACAAAACTTGGTAAATGTACTTGTTACCTTTAGTCGATGTTTCATTAAAAACGACTACGCCGATTCAAAGATTTTAAAATCTGTCTTAAGAAAAAAGAAAAAAAGAAGAAAGAAATCATTTACAAATGATATAAAATGCCTAAAGTTTTTCTGATTCCTGGTACTTATTGGTGCTTCTCGGCTGACCTGCCTCGGACGAATTAGTGATAGTCAATAATACTAGTTTAATTTCAATTTGAAAATTTTGATGTTCAGTATTAAGTTGATAGTTGTATATTTTTATAGTTTTAAGATAAAAAAGTTTGTATTCGATATGTTGTTGCAAATATATAATAAATGTGCAGATATATTTTCAATATGATGTTCATAACATTTCAAAATATAAAACTATATCTTCTTTAATCAGATAAATCGCAATAATAATTTCCCTTATAATTGCTTTGTTTAGAATATGACTATGATATTATAAAAGTACTCGTGGAGACCTTTCATTTGATACCCAACATCGATTTTGGCCATACAAAAAAAATCTTGACCCAAATTGCACGCTGTACTATTTATAGTTAAAGAAACTTGGAACTAGAATTCGTCTACGCATGTAGCACTTTTAAAAGAGTTATCGTGATAATCATCAATAATTTTAATTAAATTTGAATTTGAAAATTTTGATGTTCAGTATTAAGCTGCAAATCGTATATTTATATAGTTTTAAGTAAAAAATTTTTGTAATCAACAAGTGTTTGAAAATATATAACAAATGTATGGAATTTAGTGTTTCAATTATGTAGAAGCAGATGAGATGTCTTCTTTAATAGATAATTAGATGAATTTCAATAGTAATACACTATTAATAGAAGTACCAATAAATTGAATCTCGATATCAAACTTCAATATAGAACGTAGTTAAAATCGAAAGTAAACTAACGTAATAATAATGTACGAAACCCTATTCATTTATTGGGGTTTGAATGTACTATTTGAATTGAACTCGTAGAGACCTTTCATTTGATACCCCACATCAATTTTTACCATATGAAAATATTTTTGACCCAAATTACATGCTGCACTATTTATAGATCGATCAACGTTTATTTGGAATGTGCTGCACTAAAACATGATAATTTTGGTTTGTACTTGTGTACACGTTTTTGAAAATATATAATAATTGTTTAAAACGTAGAATTTTATTACTTTTTAAATCTTATGTGCCTATTGGCAAGATTCTGCTGAGACATCTTTTCTGGGCGATTATATGAATATTATTAGTAATAAACTATAAAATTTCAAGTACTGTTTCGTTCAAAACCATTGGATATTTTCGAGAGGAGTGTGGCAAGGATGCTAAAAGGAGTATGAATCAACATTATTTTTAAAAATATTATAGACACGAAAGAAGTCAGTTGAGAAATTAATGATCAGATTGAATGATGGATTAATTTGATGAATGATTAAATTGTATTTAGATTTAATATAGGAAAGGACTCTACTGACGGGCAAGATTATAGTAGAATCCGTTTTTTATTTTCTAGATAGTAAATACAGTTTGCTCGTCAGTAGAGTCTCTTTAGTCATCTTGTAGATAAAAATTAAAGTTTGCTTGTCAGTAGTGTCCCTTCTATATATTATAATTTGCACTTTAATTTTCTCAACAGAATTTTGTTACCATTTTCTAGTTTGCAATTCAATTTGTACGTCAGTAGAGTCGCTTCTCTCATCTTGTAGATCAAAATTAAAGTTTGTTTGTCAGTAGTGTCCCTTTTATATATTTCAATTTGCACTTTAATTTTCTCAACAAAGTTCTGTTGTCATGATCTAGTTTGCAATTTAATTTGTTCGTCAGCAGAGTCTCTTTAGTCATCTTGTAGATCAAAATTAAAGTTTGCTTGTCAGTAGTGTCCCTTCTATATATTTTAATTTGCACTTTAATTTTCTCAAGTTTTGTTATCATGATCTAGTTTGCAATTTATTTTGTTCGTCGGTAGAGTCTCTTTTTTCATCTTGTAAATGAAAAATAGTTTGCTCGTCAGTAGAGTCTTCTTGGTCATCTTGTATGTAGATCAAACATTGCTCGTCAGTGAAATTTCTTTTTTGTCTTCTAGTTTGCAATTATTTTATTCGTCAGTAGAGTCCCTTTTTATCTCCGAGATCAAAATTAAATTTTGCTCGTCAGTAGAGTCCTTTTTCTTATCTTGTAAATTTAAATTGAAGTTTGCTCGTCAGTAGAGTTACTTTTTTCATCGTTTTTTAAGTATTTGTATGGAATTTAGTATGGCTAATATTTTTACATCATGCAAATTTCCTTAAGGCAAAATTACATTTCCACCAACAATAGTAAAAAGTATTGACGTAACGCTTACCATGCACACCCAAGCCTAAGCAAAAATGTATGAGAAAGCGTTGTGTTAGGTTCGGACGACATGGCAAGCACTCCTGAAATTTTATTTTAAACTTTGCTGAAACTAATTTTTTACAGAGTAATGGACACAAAAATTTATTTATCGTTTCGACACTGTTGTGAGTCATTATTCAGCAATTTTTTGATGTTCCAGTATCTAAAAAATTTTTTACAAAGTTTAAAAGATGTTAAATTTAAAATTATGACCAATTATGCGGCCAAAAATAAAGATCAAATAACATATTATTATGGCTTCTTAAAAAATTATTGGAATCGATAAAGCAATCCGAATTTGATCAGAAATTAAAAGATAAAATAATAATGAAAATTGCAGAGATTATTAACAATGGCTATCCGTTACATTGAAATAATCCTCCTAAACTATTATTCGGATTTTGATAAATCTTTCTGAAGTTTGTTAAGGGTTTTTTTCAGGATTTTTTGATTTATAAAAATATAGTCAGATTGTAGAAATAAATGGAAAAAAATGCAAAAAACCCGCTTATCATTGATTGCATAGAAAACAATAGGCATCGCTTGACACTAAAAACAAATGAAGACTGTCATTTGCCAAACATTTCAATTCCGCGTTCTGGAGTTAAATCGTCAGGAAGTAAAACCCGACTTATTTTTATATGTATGTAGATATATATAGGGACGTTCATGCAACTTGCCTTAAGGTAAAATGATACTTAAAACTATTTTAAAAAAATTAAAAACAAACTCACCTTCTCCAACAGCAGCAGAAATTCTTCTTTGCTTTGTTTATATGTAAAATACGCCTGATCGCACCGCAACTTAATACACATTTTCACTAACAATATAAACAAGCACTTAATCACATCACTTATGTTTATCACCAATAAAAGTCTCTTTTAGACTTTACCAAATACACCACTAATCCCTTGTTCTTAACCACTTATCACAAATTAAATTTCCTCAACTACGCAAAATATTTTATTAATCCAAAGTCTTTCGTTTCATTTTTTTGGCGCGTTACGATAATAACATTGAAGGCACTGAAGGCATTTTTTTATAAACTTTTTAACAAACTAATACGAAACATAAAAAAATAGTTATTTAGGAGGCTCAGCAGGCGTGTCTTTAATCTTTTCTTGGGGCTCATCATCATCATTATCATCATCTTCATCATCGGGTGTAATGTCGTAGAAGGTCGTTTCGCCCTCGATAGGACCCATCATCGAATGGGCTTCGTTGAGGACGTCGAAGAAGTTATCGAATTCTTCCACTTCGTCGTCGTCTGGTAACATTGTACGAAAACCTAAAAAAGAAATAAATAATTATTAAATCTTATATATATATATATAAAATTCTTCTCTACGGGTGTATGATTTGATACTTCTCCGAAACGGTTATTCGGATTTTGATAAATCTTTTTCGAGATTGCCAAAGAAATTTTTCAAGATTTAATGAACGATAGAACTATAGAAATATTGTAGAAATAAATATGGTATTCCGAATCCTGTTGGATTGTAGAGTATGTTGCAAAGATATTTGGATAGTGCTCGTCGAGCCCTTTTATTTGATACCCCACATGTCTATGTTTGAAGTGAAACTTTTTAACTCGTATTTGACCCGCTGTACTATATATAGTACGCAGTTTATATTCTACACGTTAAATAAATGTGGTATCCTGTTGGTTGGTTGAGTGTGTTACAATGATATTTAGATAGTCCTTGTCGAGACCTTACATTTGATACCCCACATGTCTATATTTGAAGCAAAACTGTTTTAGACCCCAAGTTCTGCAACCCATTGGTTTACTTTTCATAATATCTTTTGTAACTTTTGAACTGTTTGCCCAAATTGAACAAAATATTCGGCAAAATTGTTCTAAATTAAATTATCTATAATATGTTCTCATATAGATTAGACCTTACAGCAACTTTGTATACTTTAAATGACAAAAATTTGTGTATTAAATAAATTTAATTAAACCAAGTATGGTATTCGGAATCCTGTTGGTTTGTAGAGTATGTTACAAAGATATTTGGAAAGTGCTCATCGAGTCCTTTCATTTGATACCTCACATGCCTATATTTGAAGTAAAACTGTTTTAGACCCCGAGTTCTGCAACCCATTGGTTTACTTTTCATAATATCTTTTGTAACTTTTGAACCGTTCGTCCAAATTGAACAAAATATTCGGCAAAATTGTGCCAAATTAAATTATCTACAATAGGATTTATTATAGATTAGACCTTACAGCAACTTTGAATACTTTAAATGACAAAAATTTGTCTATTAAATAAATATAGTATTCGGAATCCTGTTTGTTTGTTGAGTGTGTTACAATGATATTTGAATAGTGCTCGTCGAGACCTTTTATTTGCTACCCCACATGCCTATATTTGAAGTGAAACTTTTTAACTCGTGTTTGACCCGCTGTACTATATATAGTACGCAGTTTACATTGTGCACTTTTTTATCTTGTAACTTTTTTAACTTTTTAACGGTTCATCCAAACTATATACAATATTTGGCAAATTTATTTAAAATGGAACAATCTACGATTTTGTCTAACATCATTATACCCTACAGCAACTCGGTATACTTTAAAATAGCAATTGAAACAAAAAACTTAGAAAAAACTGAATTAAATCTGACTTCAATCGACTAATACGACTTGACCGAATCGTACGACTTTAATCAATTTGATAATTACATGTATCTATATAATATTTCACAATGATCAGAAATATAAAGAAGGGACTCTACTGACGAGCAAACTTTATTTCTGATCTAAAGAATGTAGAAGGGACTCTACTGACGAGCAAACTTGAATTTCGATTTAGACTAAAAGATGAAAAAGGACTCTACTTAATTCGGATCTAAAAGATGAAATAAGGGGTCTACTGACGAGCAAACTATAATTACGATCTAGAATATGAAGAAAAGGGACTCTACTGACAAGCAAAATATAATATTAATCTAGAATGTAAAAACGGGACTCTACTGACGACCAAAAAAAATTTCAAACTAAAAGATAAAATTAAATTGCAAACTAGAAAATGAAAAATGGTATCTGCTGACGAGCAAACCTCAATTTCCATCTTAGAGATGTAGAAAAGGACTCTTCTGAGAAGCAAATTAAAATGCAAACAGAAAAATGAAAATAAAGAACTTTACTGACGAGCAAAGTAAAACATAAAAAGAACTCTACTAACAACTACATTTAGCCACAACCACAATTTTGAGTTATCTAAAAATATATGAAGAGAAAGGGACTCTACTCATAAGCAAATTATAATTTTGATCTAACATAATAAAAAAGAGGACTCTACTAACGAACGACTTTTATTTAGATATAGAACATGAAAAAGAGACTCTACTAACGAGCAAATTAAATTGCAAACTAGAACATGATAAAGAGACTCTACTGACAGACCAATTGAGATATTTTTAGAAATAAACTCTACAGATGATCAAACTTTATTGACTAAGTTGGATCTAAAAAAATAAAAAAAATTAAATTGCATTAAAAAATAGATTCTACTGACGAGCAAATAAAATTTCGAATTTTATGATAGAAACAGGACTCTACTGACGAGCAAATTATACAGACTTTAACCTTGATTTAAAAAACAGAAAAGAAATTCTACTGACGAGTAAATTAAATTGCAAACTATATGGTAGTAAAGAGACTCTACTGACGAGAAAATTAAATTGCAGAGAGTAAGACAAAAAAAAGACTCTACTTATGAGCAAATCTTGAATTTTGACCTAGAATTTTAAAAAATAAGACTCTACTGATATGCTATAAGACAAAAAAGGGACTCTACTGACGAGCAAACTTTATTATTGATATTGGCAAGCAATTTCAATATTACATTTCAACAAAAAAGAATTACTGAAAATAATTTTTAAAATCAAAAATAGAATTTAAACTCTTAAACAAAAAAAAAACATTTGCATGGTACTCAAAAATTTTACAAATTTTTGTTTGCTCGTCAGTCGAGTTTCTTTTCACATAAAATCTAAATTAAAATTGAATTTTATTATTAGTAATATAACATGTTAACAATATGTTTATACAGAAGAAAGCAATCTTGCTTGTCAGTGGAGTACTTTTCTAATTTAAATCTAAACTCTAAACTGTGCAAAAGTCTATCTATTTGCGTGCTATCAGGCGTATTTTATATATAAACAAGTAAGGTATGATAATTGCATCATCGCAGATTCTGTTATTAAACATATTTTTCCTTGCTTTGTTTATATGCAAAATACGCCTGATATTAGATAAACATTTTCACAGCTTCACTATCAAGCAATAAGCATAAGCTAACGTTGCCATGACAATACAATGTTATAAGACAGAATTATCTCAAGAACCTATATAATAATCTATACGTACAAGCAAGCCTGAGAAAATCACACCATCAGAAAAGTGTCTTGGAAAACGCCCTCGTAAATAACATCCTCGTTGATGTCTTTAATAATATACTAAAAAAATCGACAAATCAAAACTAACCTTATTGCAGTTGCTCTAATAACAATCTCGTAATCCATTTACCTCCAAACCACTCAGGAACATTCGATCCCTTAAGTTGCACCCTTAAAATGGTATGTGGTCTTGCTAATTCCAAAGGGTAAATGAGCCCCTCCTTATCGCCGTCTGCAGCCACTGGTTTTCCTGCTTCTTCTGGTGGTGTCGGCGTCCAGCCGATCATCTCAGATAGTTGAGTTAATTCTGTAATAAATGAATTTTTGTAAAAATAAAAAAGAGTGCGCGTAAGGATCACACGCGATTGAAGTAAAACTTATTTGCAATTATATTGTAGCAAATTTAAGTTGAGAAAAAATAAATACATCATATAAAAATTTTGAATAATGTTTATTAGTATTATGGTAACATTCGTGATGCACACATTTATTAGTGTCACTGTCAACCATTATACACATTTATATAATGATAAATTATAAACTATATATTTATGATTGTGAACAATAATGTAATCAAATTCGTACTTGAAATATGACATGATCGTTCTAAAGTAATTGCTGATTAATAAATTCTATAATATTCATTCACACAGTGGATTATGTTAAACAACGCCTAAACAAATATTGTTTTTGCAAATTAACTCATCCTGTAACAATTGTGTTTGAAGAACTTCATGTAATTAAAATTAACATACATTCATTTACTGTTTGTATTTTTTTACTTTTTCGCTGACGATATAATCTCATTCCTTGAACAGCTGTAATATCCGTCTTGCCTAACAAATTGAAGCCATACTTTTATATTTGTTTTATTTATTAAGCCCTGCACATAGCTTGATCTATGTATAGGTGAAATTAACCTTTCAGATACAGTATCTAGTTTAGGTAGATAATTTGGTATAGGTGGAAATACAAACCCGTTAAACTTACACAAAATGGGAATTTCACCCGAATTTAACATCTTTCGACAAGTTTGACATCCAATCTGATTATTTAAATCAATATTCAAAAAACATTATTAGGAATTTGTTTTTGAGCATCATTTGATATTTCTAAGTCACTTTGAAGCCAAAGTCGATCACATATAAAACATACATAGCCAAAGCTATCATTTCTTACGCAGCGCAGATTTTTCATTAGTTTCATTATTTATTTGCGATCATTCGCACTACAATTATTTACGGGGGACGGGATAAAATATTCTTCCGATCCTGACATTTTTATTAACTCACGAATTATACTGCTAACCCATGTCGCGCCTAAAGAAGTTTTACTTCAAAAAATGTTTAGAGACTACGAGCTGAATACAAAACTCAAGTGAAAGTCGACACATTTTGTTTTGTTTTTGACATATGATTTGACATTTGATATATTTCTTGTTTTGCTCGCAGACTAGATCGAATAATTGCGATAGCTGCGCTTACTAGCGTCGTAGCGTTCAACTTCACGTTGCATTTGTACGGATTTACACCCGTGTCGCGCCTAAAGAAGTTTTTACACCCATGTCGCGCCTAAAGAAGTTTTTACACCCATGTCGCGCCTAAAGAAGTTTTACTTAAAAAAATTGGCAAATTTTAGGTGTAAATTTGTGGTACTAACCGAAGACGTTCTCGTCGCCGAACGCGAGGATTTCTTCGACGCCTAATTCGCCGGCTAGTTCGTGTTTGCTTCGCAGGCGACGCTTCGGCTCTCTTGGAGTACTAGAAGGAAAAAAACAGATTTGTTCGTCAGTAGAGTCCTTTTCTTATCTTTTTTATCTTGTAATACAAAATTAGAATTTGCTCGTCAGCAGAGTCCCTTTTTATCATCTAGATCTAGATCGAAACTATAGTTGGCCATTTTGCCTTGAGGCAAGTTACATGAACTTTCCGATATATGCAAATAATCGACTTAGTTAATAAAATATAAATTAATTTATGAGCGATTAAAAGTATTCCGAGTGGATCTATTACACATATTTCAAAATGAACGAACGCGTTAACTCGGAGTATTTTCTAAAAGCAAATTTTCAAAAAATCAACAATTTTTGTATTTGAACCAGTTGTCGTAGGATTTTAATGGTTTAGTATGTTAATTAAGACCAAGTACTTTATCGTTATACCAAGTAAATCGTCTAATTTTGATTTTAACAAACGTCAAAAAAAACTACTCTATTTCTCAAACTTTGATGAATTTTTAGAATTAAACTACTGGTCGTAAGGCCGTAATAATTCAGTAAGTTCTATAAGACCATGATATATATCGCCAAAGAAAGTTCCATAAAAATCGGCTTAATTTTCGGTAGATTTTCACCTAAAACTAATCAATATCATTCCCAACTTATATCTTTCGAACAGTTTTTGACTCAAAATCGATTCGGTAGTATGAGCTTAAATGTGGACGAAAAGTTTAACACTTTTTTCAAATTACAAAAAAACGACTCGACAGATCGTCGCACAAAACTGACAAACGCTAGTCCTCATCGAGATATATCGAATGGCTTTTAAAATTTTGAAATCGGTTCAGGCGTTTTTGAGTAAACGTCGATGAAAGTTCTAATTTTGACAAATGCCAAAAAACGATACTAATTTTTGCAAACTTTGACGAATTTTTAAACCTAAACCAGTTGTCGTAGGGCCGTAATATTTTAGTAGGATCTAGAAGAATATGATATCTACCGGCAAAAAAATCATAACTGGTAGGATATGGCATCGTGTCTTAAGACAAATTGCTAGAACTTCCCGTACCGTAACCAAATGCTCGGAATTAGGAACATTTGCACATTTGCACATTTAGCTCTGTATCTTCGAAATTTCGGGACCTGCTTTTGCCAAAAACTAATTACCACTTCTCCCAATCATTACTAATTGAATGCTTTTAGATTGGAACATTCGATTTCTATCTATAGGAAGATGTGATGATTAGTTCTCGGCAAAGGCAAGTCCTGCAGTTACGGAGATACAGGGCAAAGAGTGCAGAAAATACTAATCAAGTTTTTGAGAGAACAGAGTATCGGATTTGAATGATCTAAAAATACTTTCAATTTGTAGTGATTGGGAGAAGTTCCAGCAATTTGCCTTAAGTAAAATCTCTTTTATCTTTTAGTTTGCAATTTAATTTGCTTGTTAGTTGTGTCTCTTTTTTATTTTCTAGATCAAAGCTAAAATTTGCTCGTCAGTAGAGTCCCTTCTTAATATTTTAGATCAAAGGTAAAGTTTGCTAGTCAGTAGAGTCTCTTTTTCATCTTTTTGCTTGCAATTTAATTTGCTTGTCAGTAGTGCCCATTTTTTGTCTTCGAGAATAAAATTAAATTTTTCTTATTAGTGGAGTTCATTTTTATTCTTCTAGATTAAAATTAAAGTTTGATTGTCGATAGTGTCCAAATTTTATTGTCTAGTTTGAAGCTTCATTTTTTCGTCAGTAAAATCTTTTATTCAAAAGCTACTTTAAACTCTTTTTCTTTGTACTGAAAAGTTTAATTCGATAAATACTATCGTGTCAGTAATTAGCAGAAAATAACACTTTCATAACAATTCACAAAATGTCATTGTATAATAAATACAATAATAAAGAAGAGGGTCTACAAACGAGCAAAATTAGAGAAAAAAAATCTGGAAAAACGGGAAAGCAAAATTTTCGTCCACTTTTAAAAATACAAAAACTATTTGAACTGGACAAAGATCGGCCAAGCCGTTTCTGCGTGATTAACAGTAGAAAAATTGTTTTCAATGAAACTTTTTATGTTGATAGATAACCATGGACTTAAAAAACAAACATTCATCAAAGTTTGAAAAAATATGATATTTAAAACATGTGTCAAAAGTCCCTTTTGTGATGTGATAAGTCAATCAAATTATCTTACAAATATTTTCCAGGTGTGTAAAAAATTTTATAATTAATTTAAATTATTAAATAATATCAGGGACTACGTACACGATTTAAATGTAATCGTGTAGTAAAAATTTTATCGAAGTAAAGCAAAATGCCACTTTCAACTAATTTCTTCATACATCTCACGTAGTAAATGCGATAAAATCTCATTATGGAATGTAGTATAGTGCAGAACTAACTCGAGTACTATACTTGTTTCCATACAAAATTGAAATTTTCAAAGACATTATGTATGGTGTGCGTGCGGAAATCTTTGTTCAGAAACTAGTATAGTTGCATTTGATAAATGGAACACTTTATCGATTAAAAAGAATTAGGTGTAAGTGACATTTTGTCTTGAGGAAAGTTGGATTAAATTCCAGATACGTGTAAACACTTACTTTGGCAATCACTTAAATATAATTTGTCACATCACTAATATATTCAAAACATTTTCACCACTTTTACACTAATTTCACTAATATCACTGGACTATTTAAGAGGTTATTTGAGCTTATATTCAATTTTTATTAATGGCGTCATGGCGTCATGCGATAATGGCGTCTATTGTACTTGTTAAAAGTCAAAAATTACAAATTCAAAAGCGACATCTACCGGAAAACTATTGAATTTAATAATATAATATATTAATATATTAAATTGTCAAATCTTGTGTTATTTATCCTTTGCGCCTAAAGATGGTGCCATGTTTTAAATGACGACAATATTAACTCTTAACTTAATTAGAAAAATGCTCCGGTATATAAACAGTCGGGTAAACATTTGTACCAGAGTGGCGCTTAGACTGTTCTTAATTGGGTCATTTTTTGAATTTTTAATCCAAAAACATTTATTGAAAAAAAAAAATTAGAAACAAAAATTTTATTTTCGATTTTCGGCAAATTACTATAACTACCCTACGGGAAGTTAATAAATAGTTAATATTATTAAAAGCAAAATGTTAGAATTGTCAAAAAGCAATCAAAGTATTGCAAAGATTAAAATAATTATTATTATTCCTAGTTTTGTATCTAATTTTGTTAATAAGCATTACAAAATCGTTACATATTAAATTCTTACATTTTGATATATTGCAAGTAAAACTTCTTTAGGCGCGACTGAGTATAATAATACACATTCTGAATCGAAATTCATTAAGGTAATTACAACTTAATATCGAATATATGTTTCAATTTCAAAATAAATTAATTAATATTTCTCAGTGAGTAAGGTTGACAGGTAAAAATAAGAAAAGGGACTCTACTGGCGTGCAAACTAATTTTTTTTTTGTATTTTCAAAAGACTCTACTGCAAATGAATGAGAAATGTTAAGACAAAAATGACTTTTCTGGCGAGAGAATTAATTTTTTGTAAAAAAAGAACTCTACTGACGAGCAAATTTAATAGAAAAGTGGATAGTTAGAAATAAAGACAGATATAAATAAAGACAGATATAAATAAAGACAGGTATAAATAAAGACAGAGATATAAACAGTTATTTACATTAAAAACTAAAAAGTTAGCGAATAAAACATATGTAGATTATTAACAAATCAAATTATTTGTTCATTATTATTTCGATTCACGACAAAATGTCACTAACAACTAATTTTTAACTCATAGCCAAAAAGTTTACCTAAAACAAGAGAAAATAAAGTTTTACTTAGCTTGTAATATCTTGTACTTGACAAAATTCTATTTAAAAAAAATACTACTAAACATTCTAATAAGTATTGACGTAACGCTTACCATGCACACCCAACCTAAGTAAAAATGTATGAGAAAGCGTCGTGTTAGGTGCGGCCGACATGGCAAGCACTAGCATATATTTGCAATAACAGATTTAAAAGTAATTAAAACTCGATTCTTATTGATTAAGTTGATGATTTACACACTCATGAAACTTGCCTTAAGGCAAAATGTCACTTAAACCTAATTCTTTTCAATCCATAAAGTGTTTCATTTATCAAATGCAGCTATACTAATTTCTAAGCAAAGAATTCCGCACGCACACCATGCAGAATGCCTTTGAAAATTTCAATTTTGTATGGAAACAAGTATAGTACTCGAGTTTGTTCTGCACTATACTACATTCCATAATGAGATTTCATCGTACTTACTACGTACGAAGTCTGAAGAAATACAATATTTGTATGGAATTTAGTATAGTGCACACGTTTTAGAGAAAAGTACGGGGAAGAAAAATGTAAATAAATCTCGATTGTTATCGATCAAGTCGATTATGGGAAAGTTAATACCACTTACAACTAGTCAATTATCAATTTCCTCTTACCTGTCTGGATATATAGTCGAGATAATATCGTCCTGCGGCAAAACTGGCATCGTATTGGCAGCAATTGATGCCAATTCCAGTTCGTGGGCTTCATAAAGGTCTAAATGAGGTTTGGCAATATTCCTGGGAACAAGTGCATCCTAAAGAAAAAAAAAAACAAAAATTAAGAGACCGATTCTGCTGCATAGCAGGCCAATGTTATGGCAAGGCCATGTTGTGAAAAACTTTCCTTACTAATATTGACAAAAGCCAAACGGTTGCCGTGCAGTCAGGCGCATTTCTCAAGTTGTGGTATAGAAAATTGAACCTTAAAACCGCACAAATGTCGAAAGAACGTTGTTAGATAACAGGGTGTTTCTGACTCGGATTCATAACATACGAATGACGTTGCAGTATGTGTAAAACGCTTGAATGCACAGCAAATACATGCAGATTGTAAGAACTCTTTAACTCTTTAAATTTTTCAACTTCAATTGCTTCAGTTTTAGTTTATAAATTTCAGTTTTAGTTTCCACATTAAATGAAGACTAGGATTTATAGCCAAAACGTATAAATGGTGAAATAAATTTTTGAGACAAATTTATGTTTTTATTGATGTTATACCTAATTGTTAGACTTTATTAATTGTTTTTTTATTACCTGAAAAGGTCCAGGAGCAACATTCACTAAAGACAGAGTATCAGCAAATTCAATTTCATCAGGCATTATTATGGGAATAACTTTGCTCGATTTATCTGATAACTCGATTCCTGAAGCTTGCATGAAAAGTCTGGCGGCGATATTCTGAAAAAAAAAAAACATAAAACTAGTTGAAAGTGGCATTAGATGACAAACACGACTGCTCTTGAATTATTTCAATTTTAATTTTCCATGTTAATTCTACATGAGTATAGCTTGTAAATTTACCCCAAGGTTCAATTCTAGATAAACCCATAGGTTTAATTCTAAGATAAATTTATATATATATATATATATATATATATATATATATATATAATATTGTTATAATGAATCTGAAATTTTGAGAACAAAACATACTCATAAGAACATTTTCAACTAGCTGTAAGTAGAATTCTATCTTAAGGCAATTAAGGCATCGTGCCTTAAGGCAAATTGCTGGAACTTCCCGTACCAAAAATTATTATTTTTTTAAAAACGATTAACATTTTTGAAAAAAAATTACTTCGAAATAATTAGATTTTTGAGAAACAATTAGACAAAAAATACTTTTTTTGAAAAAAAAAAATTTTTTAATTTCTTTTTTTGAAAAAAAAATTTTTTTTAATTTCTTTTTTTGAAAAAAAATGTTTTCTTTATTCTGACATATTTTGAAAGATCTAAACTTTTTTTCAAAGCAATCGTACTGCTTTAACTGCATAAAGACGAAATATCAAACCGCGTAAGCGCCGCGTCGACGTCTAACGCGTAAACATTGGTACGGAACCCATAGGAATGTAAACCAAAAATATACTTATTGTTAAAATCTCTATAAAATATCTGATAATTTGATGTGCATATGTCTAAAGATCATTTTTGACCGCCAAATGGCATTTTTTTTACTTTTTTCGTTAGATCTCCGAAACCGCTAGACCTGCCTTTATGAAAATTTGATCGGTTCTTCACCTTGTCAATACAAGTAAAATGTTTTTTGAATTATTAAAATCGGACGCTCCGTTCTCTTAAAAACTGAGTTACCGTTTTCGGCACTTTTTGCCCCGTATCTTCGGAACGGCTAGACCTGCCTTCGCCAAAAACTAATCAGCACGTCTCCTTATCAATACGAATCGAATGTTTTTTTAATTATTCATATCGGTTGATCGGTGTTCCTGAAATCGTCGACGAAAATTTGTATCCGCACATACATACACACACGCACACACACACACACACACACATACATCCATTTTTTCTAAGGTATGCCCAAATGTTCAGAAACCTCTGAAACGTAAAGATATGTAAAAATTTTCATTTTCGATTTTTTTGCGATTACTATAACTTACCCTACGGGAAGTTAAAAATGAAATAATACTAATATTTAACCAATAAAATATTTTAAGAGAACGTGTTTACATAATTTAAATAAAATATAATTTTTAACGAATAGACAAGATTTTTATATAGGTCCTGAGACTTTTCTTGTACTTCTCGAGAGCTATTTTTTATTGGGTCCAGTTCATTTTCATTCGTACACATACTTTTCCCTTAAATTCGGTCTCATTCGATTCAGAATGGCTTGAAACGTCCAGGAGAAAACATAAAATTAGCTAATCGGATTTTTTGATGGAAACATAAACTTCTGCTTCGGGAAGTTAATAAGTGCTAATTTACTTAAAAAAATTGAATTAAATATAAACTAGTATTCTGAAAAAAAACATTAGTACAATAGTGATAAATTATGTAGAGGAGCTAGAGACCTATTGTAACGGGGGTTGAAGTAGCAGCAGGCGTAATATTTCGGTTGTAACGCCGCACTTTTCTCAGAAAATAATTAATTGTGAAATAATAAATAGTAGTTAAGGATTTATTTTTACTTAATACAGTAGAAGAGTAGTTCAAGTATCTATGCACATTTTTTTATAAAAATATAATCATGGGATCACAAGATATATTAAATTTTTCTAGAGAAACTGTTTGCAATAAGCCGCTGGCTTTTTGCTATACTTTGTAAAAAGTAATCAAATAATTGCTGATATATATATATATATATATATATATATATATATATATATATATATATATATATATATATATATATATATATATAAACTAGTTCATTAATGTACCTCTGGAGTTTCCAATTCCTGCTCCTCAACTTCTTTATAAATTTTTTTGATGGTTTCATCTAATTCACTCTTTGATGGCATCAGGCGACACTAAAATGAAAAAAAAATAGTAGTCAAAAAATTTACAAAAACATTACGTAATATACAAAAAAATAAGCATGCTAATAAATTTTGCAAATTTGGTTAAAATCGTTGTAGTTAAAAGTTCTGTTATATACATTTTTGGGGTATAAGAGAGCATAGAGGGAGTGATGTGGCAACACAAGTTGGCTTTGCAGGAAAATAAGCAAAAGAAGATCAATAACTATTATTAAAAAAAATTTCACATTTAAATTTTCACATTTTCTAAATATTATAAAACTAACTATTTGCCGTGCGTTCAGGCGTATTTTACATATAAACAAGCAAGAAAGAATGTTTGAAGACTCTGCTAGCATAACATACTCATTTGAATATTTAAACTAAGTAAGATATATCACTGGATTATCTTATATAATATCATACTTATTTAAATGTACAGTTTAGCTCATAGAAATCATTTTTGTATTTCTGATTGCTGAAATAAAGTGAAATAAAAAAAAAAAATTTGAACATTTATATACAATTCGCACCCTTACTTTTAAAATGCTTTTAAATACTTTTGGTAATATTTTAAATACAGTAGATACACGAATTAAATAAAATTAACAATAAATATTTTTATAAAAACAAAGTTTTATATAAACAGAATTGTTCTAATAAATCTGTTAGATCAAATAGCAAAAAAATACTTAAAACATTGTTTTTGTTTAATAGAATTTAATGATCGTAAAATTTCAGGAAACGATATGAGATTTTTATCAGTGTTTTTGTACAATATTTCAAATAAATATTATTTTTTTGCATCTATAAAAAAATATTTACTTCTAATAAAGATAATTAAATTTAAGGATATTTACTTTCAAACACTCTTACTTTAAAAATACCTTTTAGGGGTTAATAAAACAAATAGACGTTTTTTAGAAAAAATAGTACATTTTTATCAATTTAGCTATTTCTACTAAATATTCTAGCACTTTTCAGTCACTAATTATAAGAAACTAAAATAAAATTTAATATTAATTTAAAAAACATCCGAAATTAATGAATTAACTAAATTAATTTTATTCCAATTGTTATTGCTATTTAAATATATATATATATATATATATATATATATATATATATATATATATATATATATATATATATATTATTACAATAATTATAATTATATAATTTATTACTCACATCTTTTATCTCTTTGCTTGGTGTTTTTCTCGATTTATACTAGAACAAGAAAAATGGCAGTTGAATGTTATGAGTGTTGCATAAAGCCAAGGGAAGTTTTAAAACCTAAACCTTATATCATTAAGTCAAATTAATAAAGAATTAAGTGTAAGTGGCATTGTGCCTTAAGAAAAGTTGTATAAAGTTTCATATATATATGTGTAAATAATCAATGGGAATTGGAATTTAACAAAATTTAAATCAAATAAATATAATGAAGTAAGAGTATTATTATAAATTTTATAAATAAATAAATTATTAATCAAAGTATAAAGTAATAACGATGTTTCCTGAATGAATTTTCTTTTTCCTAACATATTATATAGACTTACGTTTTAAATTATATTTTATTAAACATAATTGAATATCAAAAATTATTATTTCTTTCATAATAAGAAGTTTAGTTTTATAGAATTTTTTATTGTAAGGAGCATAGGTTTGAATATAATTTAAAAAAAATTAGAATAAATAAAATGAAATTTTAAATAAATAAATAAAAAAAAGATATTATAGAACAGCCCACATGAATTTAATTAGAGGTTATGTGGTTTATAAATATTCTTATGTATCATAATATTTGAGTGGCGCACAGATGGCGCACGAATTTACTTAATGACACATTAGTAGTAAATTTATATATATATATATATATATATATATATATATATATATCAATTACCCTTCTCGTGGTATCAGATAGTCTGGTAGAATTTATCTGCAAATATTAAATTAGTATTAATTTAATTAAATTTTTATTAATATAAATAAATTGAAAAATAGACTTACCGAATTGCAGCTCGGTTTATCAGGTTTCGTCACTGTAAAATAAAAATAAATATTTATTATACTTATATAATTATATATATAATATATGTAATATTTTGTACTTACTTTTCTTTTGCTGCCCACAAAACATATTCTGAAAAAAAATTAATATTTATTATTAATAAATAATATAAATAATCTGCAAGTTAAAAATGTATACGTTTTTCTTTAATTTCAAATAAAAAAAAATCGTATAATAATTATTTTTTTGATTATTTGTGTGTATATTTGTAATTAAAACAAAGTATCCAAATTATGAACCTGCAGATTAATAAACAAATTAATTTTTAAACAATCAAATATAGTTTTTATAATTTTTTTTAGATGACTAGGTCAAAAAATAATTCAAAGATTCTACATTTCTGGAAACCATTATAAAATATTTAACATTATTTTTTGGTACATTAATTAATTTTGTACATTAATTGATTTAAAAAAAATGTGTAACTAAATGATCATAAGGAAATCAATTAAAATAATTAACATCATCGTTCCAAAAAATTTAAGTGTTATTAAAATAATTTTGAAAAAATTATAACAAATTCATGCATAAATAATATAAATAAACAAAAAATAGAAGTGTTTAGGTTGATGAATTTTAAATTATTTCTTATTTTATTAAGAGCATTATTTCTGAGAAATTTAATAAATTTAAATATTTCAAAAAACATCTACAAAAATAATTTCTAAAGTATTAACAATTTCAAAAAAAAAAACTAGTTTTTCAATATGTCTTTCTTCTTCATCTCTTATAAAGTTAAATGTAAAATATTTTTTAAATATTTTTATAAGTAATATTTATTATATGATAATGTTTCTAAGAGACATATTTCGATTTATTTATTTTCAAGTGTATTTTTTCAAAATTTTCAAATATCTTTCATTTTAATATCAAAATACAAATATGATCCAAAATAAAATAAAAATGACTTGTTCTACAATATATAATTTCGAGTAATAATTTACATTTTTTTAAATAACTCGAAGACTTTTATGATTAATTTAGTAATAATTAATATGTATATATATACATATATATATATATATATATATATATATATATATGTATATATATTTATTTATATAACTCACCTCAGGAGCTTGATCTATCCAAGACATGCCCTGAAATAATAAAAGCAAATGTTTCATTCATTTTTGTTTCACTGATGATGATACAAATTATACTATCGAAACGTATGTATCTGATAATGTCCAATAAAACATATAAAAATATAGTGTACTCATATTATAAATAAATTATAAACAAAACTCACCAAGTCAGATCCTACAGGCCACTGCTCATGTAAAATGATATTAACAATAAGTTTATTACTCTTTATATAATTATTATAATTTTATTATATTATTATGATTGTAAATAAGATTTCTTACCCCTTCAATGATAGTACTGGAATACTGAAATAATATAATAATATTTAAAAAAAAACTATATTTTAATAAATAAAACGTGGTGCATATATATAATGAGATTACTTACAATTTGTGGCCTCTGGAATACCTGAAGATAAAAACAGATATGAGAAAACCAAGTTTTATTTACTTATTTATTAAATAATTTTACAAGCCATCCGTATAATGATGTAACTAGTGGGGTGTATGGATGGCATCGTGCCCTAAAAAATTAGATTTAATGTTCAGAAACCTTTGAAACGTAAAGATATATACAAATTTTCATTTTCGATTTTTTTGCGATTACTATAACTTGCCCTACGAGAAGTTAATAATTTCTCATATTTTTATTAACTTCCCATAGGGTAGTTATAGTAATGGGCCGAAAATCGAAAATGAATTTTTTTGCATTTCTCAACGTTTTAAAGGTTTCTGAACATTTTACTGGCATACCTCTGAAACTAAATGAATGTGTGTGTACGTATGTATGGATATAATTTTTCGTCCACGTTTTCGGGCGCACGGATCAACCGATTTGAATGGTTTGAAAAACATTCGATCCCTATTAATAGGGAGATGTGCTGCTTAGTTTTTGGCAAAGGCAGGTCCAGCCGTTACGGAGATACGGAGCAAAGAGTGCAGAAAATACAAATCGAGTTTTTGAGTGAATGGAGTATCGGATTCAAATGATCTAAAAAATCATTCAATTAGTAATGATTGGGAGAAGTAATTATTCGTTTTTGGCAATGGCAGGCCCAATGGTTTCGGAGATACAGAGCTAAATGTTAAAAAAATGGCAGTTTTTGAGAGTACTAAGCGTCCGATTTAAATGATTCAAAGAACTTTCTGTTTGTTTCAGCAAAATAATTGCTTTTAGAAAAAAAAATTCTATTTTTTTCTCCCATAAAATATTTTGTGTAATTTTGGATTAAAAATTCAGAAAATCACCCAGGCTAAGCACAGTCTAAGCGCCACTCTGGTACAAATGTTTACCAAAGTGCGTTTAGACTGCTTATGTAGGTAGTGGAGCACTTCTCCACTTCCGTGAAACTATTGAAAAGTGTGAAAATGCCACCAATCACAGTATAAGTGAAAATGTCGCACAGAATTATTTGCAAATGCGTTTAGACTGTGACTATGCGGGAGCACTTTTTCAATTTTGTGTAATTATTTGGCAACTATTTTTTTTTTCAAATTGAATTCGAAATGAAATCACGATTGTTCTGGATGTTCTGGAAATAAATTGAATTATGATTTACATTTGATTCGCTAACAAAATAGCAAAAATAATAATGAAAGTTACAGTATTAGTAATAATATATTTGAGAACGTTTAAAATTTCTCGAATATTTCATTACGGTACGGGAAGTACCAGCAATTTGCCTTAAGGCACGATGCCATGCACCACTAGTTTTTATTTGTCTTCGTGAATTAATTATATTTTTTAAATTCTCAGTATTTTCTTGGTTCAAACCGCTGAATAAACGATGACACAAATTAAGTGTCAAAACGTACAAAATAAATATAAAAAAATTGCATTGAATTTATTTGAAAATAATACGATTTTTAGAATGTTTCTTGTCATAATAGAGATTTTAAAGATAAAAAGAATATTAATTAAATTGATATTCATAAATAAAGAATATTGCTAAACAGGAAATTATTTATATATATTTTAATATATATATATATATATATATAACTATATATATATATATATATATATATATATGTATAAAGTAAATTTTAATATATTTTTATATATCTAACTACTCACAATTAAAGGTGTCTTCATCGTCTGGATATTTGAAAAAAAAATTAATTAGTAAAATTGTAAAAATCAAATCAATGAAAAAAAAATTCAAAACTTACCCATGGATCGTAAATGCATCGCTGCAAAATAAAAAAATGTTAATATAAATAAATATTAATTTATAATCATTTTCAATACAATCTAAATCTAAATTTTTGAAATGAGTTTCTATAAAAATTTTGTATAAACACAAATATTTCTAAGTATGTTACAATTTAGATAATTTTATCTTCTTTCAAATTGCTCAAACAGAATTTAAAACTTTCTCAGAAAATTTTACAAGATTTTCAAAAAAAAATGAAATTTTGTACCATGCTTATATAAACATTTTTGTCAGTAATAATAAAATCTTAATTTTCAGTATTGACTTTTCTTAAAATTTTGTATGCACACAAATGTTTCCAAATATGTCACAATTTATATAATTTTATCTTTTTTCAAAAAGCTCAAACATAATTTAAAACTTTCTCAAATAGAATTACAAAATTTTCAAAAAAATGAAACTTTGTACCATGCTTATATAAACATTTTCGTCAGTAATAATAAAATCTTAATATTCAGTATTAAATTTTTATAAAACTTTGTATGAACAGAACTATTAATAAGTATGTCATAATTTAGATAATTATATCTTATTTCAAATTACTCAAACAGAATTTAAAATATTCTCAGAAAATTTTACAAAATTTAAAAAAAAAACAAATTTTGTACCAACTTTATATAAACATTTTTGTCAGTAATAACAAAAATCTTAATTTTCGGTATTGAATTTTTATAAAAATTTTGTACGGACAGAAATATTTCTAAGTATGTCACAACTTAGATAATTTTGTCTTCTTTCAAACGACTTAAACAAAATTTGAAGTTTTCTAAGAAAATTTTTCAAGTTTAAAAATTCGTACCAAGCCGAATTTTGTAGTTGAATTTTCATAAAGTTTTGTATGAAGAACGATCGACGATGGAACGTATTTAGTTCCGAAACGTCGATAATAAACTAATTTTGTTTAAATATTTATTTTTAAATATATATATATATATATATATATATATATATACAAATTTTGTTTATTGAATAAAAATTTATAAGCAATTGCTCACCGTTTCACCTTCAATCAATGTTCTCATCTGGGAAGGTATAATCCATGGCTAAAATAAATTAATTTATATATATATATATATATATATATATATATATATATTACATAAATATTAAAATTGCCATTATATTATATAATTTTACTCACAGCTTTCCTGCACGGTTGTTCTTTCCTCTGAAACAATAAAAATCAATAATTATTATTCAAAATAATAATATAACTAGTTATAATTAAATTAAATAAGTAGTATTTTGCCTTAAGGCAAGTTGCACTAACATTCCCATAATCAACTTAATCGAAAACAATCGAGATTTATTTACATTTTTCTTCCTTGTACTTTTCTCTAAAAAGTGTGCAGTATACTAAATTCCATACAAATATTGTATTTCTTCAGACATCCCACGTTATAAGTACGATGAAATCTCATTATGGAACATAGTATAGTGCAGAACAAACTCGAATACTATACTTGTTTCCATACAAAATTGAAATTTTCAAAGACATTCTGCATAGTGTGCGTGTGGAAATCGTTGTTTAGAAACTAGTATAGTAGCATTTGATAAATGAAACACTTTAACGATTAAAAAGAATTAGGTGTGAGTGGCATTTTGCCTTAAGGCAAGTTGCATAAACTTGAATTTGTAATAAATAAAAAGTAATTTAGAATCATTTCTAATTAAATTTTAATTTTTTTAATAGACTTACAGAACTACTGGGATAATCGCTGCCGCCCCTCGATGGAGGAATCTGCAAATAATTATATTATTAAAATGTTATTTTAACTCTACATTTATATTTAAAGAATACATCTGTATGGATTCTAAAGATGCAATAATTAATAAAGTTGCAATCAGAGATGTAAACTACAAAAAAGAACACTACTGTCGAGCAAATTATGGAAAACATTTTGGAAAAATCTAGTCTATTGTTAAAATGTCTCTGAAGGAATCAAAGCACTGGATATATTTAAAAAAAAAATTAAATTGCAAACTGTTCTTTTTCCATTATCTTAGTTGTAATTGTTCCCGCAATTAATCTATAGAGGCGCCACTAACTGTAGCACGTATATTTACCCATAGGTTGAAATCTAGATAAAATTTATATAAATATATGATATAGAAAAGATAAACCCGATTGATTTGAATAAATGAAATGAGAACAAAACACGAACACGTATAATTTATATGTTCAACTAAAGCACAAATATATTTTCATAAACATGTATTTTTTTTTTTTTAAATGATAACGTTCATAGTTCGTGCATTATAGTGAGAGAGTTTTATAGAAATAGTAAGAAAATTGAGTATTTGCTGAGAGCAGATAACACTAAAACAAATCCCAATATCTGTGACAAAATGATCAATTTATTGTTTTTTGAAAAATGCAATACTACAGTCGAGAAACAGTTACTACAGCAAATATTATATTAAGAAAATTTTGTACTGAGAATCGGTCGATACCTCTAGTTTTATTTTTATTTGATGCAATATTTGAACTAACCATATACAATCTTAAATTTTTACCTTATTTCTACAAAATTATTTCTATTAATTAATTAAGGGCAGAACAGTGTTTGCCGGGTTTGCTAGTATATATATATATATATATATATATAAAAAAAATTTATTACCGGGCATCCGTTTCTGGGATAATCACTGCCACCTCTGGACGCTGGAGATCTCTGCAAAATATTAATAAAAAAAAATTATATAAAAATATTATACTGAAAAAATTAATTAAAAAATTTAAAATATATATTCTCATAGATAAAAGTATGAATAGATCGCAAACACTATACTAAGTATAAATAGATCGCTGCTTTTGTAAGTCTTTTACATAAATTTTATAAAAATGTGATATTAGTATATTTAATTAGTAACTTAGATTTCTTTTGTTTCAGATAAGTGTAAGTCGAAGGGGAGTGCTTGTAGCACAAATTATATATTAGGTTGTCAAATATCTTCCTTCCGCTTTTTTGCTCTTGGTTTATAATACAAAAAGGCGGAAGGGAGATATTTGACAACTTTATATAATATTAAAATATATTAAAATGTTTCCTATTTTAGGGTGTTGGTGATTTATCTGCACTAGAAATGAGTGGTGTTTCAACTATAGATGCACCCATACCTTATCGTAGTGCATTCTCACCGGTAAGAAATTATAATTTATTACAATATTAAAACGTTACATTATTTAAATTTTCAAAAATCTTATTCGGTGTACAAAACAACAGAAAGATAAGAAAAAAGTATGTTCAAAAATATATAACAATATAATATTCTTACGCAATCACATTATCTTTGGTTATTGTTAGAATTGATCTAAATTGTTTAAATGATTAAAATATGTGTCCTAGTTTTGATTTTTATATTTAGTATGGATAGCACTATGCATACATCTCGCTCGCTCGCTCACACGGTTGTGCATGCAGCGCTCTCTTTCTATCTAGTGTTGTCAGAACGAAATTTAGGATAGACGAACAAAGAAAATAACAAAAATTAAAAAACAAAAGTGCAAATCTAGAAAAAGGTAATTCTATCGTAGTCGTAGCACGTAAATTTACCATTAGGTATAAGTCAAGATAAGATTTATTTAATATAATATAGAAAAAATGAGTCTGATAAAATTGAATGATTTTTTTTAAATTACAATATGTGTTAACACAGCTAAATGATATAACATCTAGTAACATAGGTGAATAATAACATAAATATAAGAAAGAGTACAAAATAAAGGTCAATCTAAATTGAATAAATGAAATGAGAACAAAATATACACGTATAAAATATATTTTTGACTAAGTCATAAATATGTTTTGAAGGTCTGAACTCTAGCCGAAACGTAAATGGATATTATACTAAATTTTTCATTAAATGAACGCTAAAACTCTAGCTCAAATTAATGAATGTTATAATACATTTTGAAAAAAAAATTATTGTTTTTATTAAAATTATATATATATATATATATATATATATATATATATATATATATATATATATATATATATATTATTACTTACCGGACATTTTTCTACAAAAGGTGTGACAGCCTAGAACAAGAAAATCAAACATTTTAGATAATATATTTTCATAACTACATATAATCTTACAAAATTACTAATTAAATACAGTAGAACCCCGTTAAGACGATTTCACGCATAACGCCGTTTTGAAATAGATCGTCTTAATATAATTATATATAATTATATAATATATAATTTATAAATTTTACCGGTGACTTCTGACCAGGTGTCCCCAACGCAGCCTAGAAAATAAAATAAATTCATAATATATAAATTATTAAATACATAAATATATTTTCAAAATCCAACTCACCATCCTTATTTGTTGAAAACGAGCCTCCTGAAAAATATATAAAATCAAAATTTATTTAAAAAAAAAACAAATAAATTAATAACTATAAATTATCAATTTAAGGGCCGATTTTGCCGCACAACAGGCAAATGTTATGGCAAGGCCACGTTCCATACATTATGCTACTAAATCATACTGAATTTCAAGGCAGAAAAAGTAAAAGAGAGAGACTTATACGCAAGTGTTAGAGAAAGATATGTGTAGGTAAATGTTGAGATGTTATTTGTGGAATTGAAAAAAATATAATAATATATGTATAATAATATATGTATAATAAAATAATAAATAATATTATTACTCACATAATCAGACATTGGCTTGGCAGCAGGACACGCTTCCTTTATTTAAAAAAAAATGTAATTATAAATAAATAAATATATATATATATATATATATATATATATTTTATATCCGGGTAGTCCTTAATATGGACATTTTCGAATTTCTTTGCACCCAAGATTTCAAATGCTTGCAAATTAATAAAAAAATATTCTCTAAAGTTTTCTTCTAATATTAACATTTATACAGTTCGCAATTCAATCAAAAGTTTCGTATATTTATTATTAACATATGTCATTGAGTAAATTCTTGCGCCATCTGTGATAGCATTTGTAAACTCAAATATAGTGACACTTGAATTATTTATAAATCACTCATCCTCTAATTAAATCCATGTGGATCGTTTAACAAAGTTAAACTTTAAATTTGAAAGCATTTGAGCTCTTGGAAGCAAAGAAATTTGAAAGTGTCCATATTAAGGACCACCCTAATATATATATATATATATATATATATATATATATATAAATTATAAAACTTACAGGTGACGGCCGGCGAGGTGCATCTTCAAACAAAGCCTAAAACCAAAAAAAACATTATGTATAAATTATAATATATATATATATATATATATGTGTGTGTGTGTATTGAGTTTTGTTGACGAAAGGTTAAAATAGAAAAACTCTTTATTCTAGTAAACGTTTGGACACTTAATGTGTGTCGTCATCTTTCAGTAATTTAAAAAAACATAATAACAATAGTTGAAATTGAATTTAAAAACATAAAAAGGAGAAAATTTTATACATACCAACTCAAAAAAAAATTATATAAAATTTATTAAACACTAAACTTGTGCAAAAGAACAACATAACTAACAATAATTAATAAAGAGAGAAATTAAAAAAGCATATAATGTCCTTTTATGCATAGTAACACAAATTCAAGGTTACTCGACACGTGCGGTAGAGTGAGTGGTTGCGGGGCAAAACAAAAAAAGAGTGAGAAACAGAGAAAAAGATATAACGTACAATACTGTATATACCACTGTAAAGAATTACGTTTAATAAAATTTATAATGACTTTTTAACTGTCATATAAAAGATGAGAGGAATTCCGTTTGTTGACTCAAGAGGTATTAAGGGATATAGGTAACGACTCAACTATCTTTCAATGTATATATATATATATATATATATATATATATATATATATATATATATTACAACTCACCGCTTCCAATTCCTTTAGGCGAGCATCCTGAAAAATATATTATAACAAAATTAATTTTTAAAATAAATATTTATAAATATGCTTATTAAATAACAAGTTATCAATTTAAATGATATTTGATCTATCGAGAGAGTCCGCAATTGTCGTCGCAAAGTTCGCTCAAACATGTAATGTTCTTGAGCACTCTACATATACAACGAAAAACATATGAGGACTAGCAGTTATTATATATATATATAATATATAAAATAAATTATTTACTCACAAAACGAGACACTGGTGGTCTTCCAGACGACCCAGCAGGACACGCTTCCTAAATAATAAAATATTATTTGTAATAATTATATGTAAATATATATATACGAGTATATATATATATATATATATATATATATCTTTATCCCATTTAAGACGCCTTTTTAGAAACATTTCTAAAAAATCGTCTTAACGAGGTGTTAGTGCAATTCTCTCTTATAAATATAAGTAAAAATAAATAAAATGATATTTGAACAATAAAATGTAAATTAAATAATTATAAATATAGGTAAATAATAAATTTAAAATAATAAATTATTAATAAATACATAAATAACTTATTTAATTATCAAGCAAAATTTATAAGATTTTAATAAAACATGTTTAAAATTTTTTAAAAATATTATGACGATATGATTGTTATATATTTCTTATTGATATTTAATTTACTAATAATATATTACCTTTAATTCAAAACTTTTTTTAACAATATTTTGATCACTATGAAAATGTCTATCTATTTGTATAGACGTATATGAAATAAATTTATAATAAACAAAAAAATAACTCACCGTCGTTTGGGTTTGCGTTTCTTCCTGCTAAAAAATAAAAATTTATACATAAATAAGTAATATATATATATATATATATATATATATATAAAATCAAATATACAAGTATAAAATTAATTATGAAGAATTTATAATATATAATAAGAAAATGTAATAATTTTGACACCAACTGTCGGTCTGGTCCTAATAGACGGGCGGCTCGTCGCAAAATCATTAACATTTTTATTTATATATTTTTAATTTGCTAAATAATATTATATTCATAATAAATATGAAATTAAATTTATATTTAAAATATATAAGTAAATATTACCATGCTGGGATCATCGAATTTCTGAAATAAAAAAAATACTTGTTAATATTGTATAAAAAAAATACTAAAAAACTATAAAATTTCAATTTATTTTTATATTTTTGTGTGTCATCAGTAATAAAATAAAATAATAATAAATTTAAGAAATTAAAAAAATCTGACTGTTCTTGAATTTAATGTCAAAAAAATCATTTTTATAAAAATTTATTAAGCAAATGATATTTTTCAAGGTTATTTTCTGTGTGTGTAAAATTGTCTGTAATAATTAAAAGTGTGTTTAATATATATATATATATATATATATATATATATAATTTATATTTATTAAATATTTTTACGTACCAGTTGCCTCACCCAAGGAGCTTTTGTCTGCAAAAAAAAACAAATTGATTTTTAAATAAATTTAATAACTTGTTTCATTAATTAATAATTACTAAGTTAAACATTTATTAAATTAAATAGTTACAAATATTTATCATGCTGTTTGATGTCAAGTTGACCCAAGATTAAAGATATATTTGCTAGACCATGACATGGTTTTTACTTAATATATTATTCTAATTATTATTCATCTAATAACAATTAACACCAAAAACAATTTGTGTATGTTGCAGCAATGCCCCCAAAAGATTATTTTCACTCATGTTTAAAAATTATATATTTTCTAGTCCATGTTTTTTACTTTAAATAAAATAATAATCTAATTAATGCCCATAAAATTAATTATATTTTTGAATCTAATTTGTATATGTTGCAGCAATGCCACCAAAAGAGTATCTTTACTTTGAATCATATTTAAGTTCTAAAACTTTAAGTAAAAAATCTGGTATCATGTTGCTTGATATCAAGTTGGCAATAAAATTATAATAAATTACCTCTACATTCCTCCTTCCAGCCAACGGACACTGAAAACAAATAATAAAAATTATTAAATAATAATTATATAAAAAATACTTCCTATCAAGTTGTTAATTAAATAAAAAATTTAAAAAATGTTTAATTATGTCACTAAAAAAATCATTCATATTGTAACTAGACATTCTCAAGTTCTAGATTTAATTTAAAATTATTTGTATATAAATATATATATATATATATATATATATATATATATATATATATAAATATATATATATATATATTAATTTATAATTATTTTAAATTATCACACTTTTCGTAACGCTTTCGATAGAATAATTTATTATTTCTTACCTGGTCCCTAGATGGCGACTTGATTTCATTAGAAAAACTTTTTATTTGCTGAGTGTCCGGTCCTGTTTTCACCGAAAACGTCACTGTGTCACGAATTATTTCTAAAAATAATAATATATAAAAATATATTATTACAGAATTATTTAGCCTACTGTACTGCTTATAGTATGGCAATTGCATGCAACAGATTTAGAAATTACTTTGTTAAATTTTGTGTAAGTTTTGAATGGTTTGTCTGATTAGGTTGATTTGTTTAGCAAATTTGTTTAGAATTAAATTGTCTATAACTTTTGTAAATAACAAAATGCGCTAAGGCTAATGTGACGTTAATTATTTAGCCCGGTGTAGTGTGTTTAGTACAGCAACATCAGGTACACACTTAGACTTTGGTTTAAAAAACTTATGTTACTTTTAAACGGTTTGTCCGATTGTAATAATTTTTTGGGCAAAATTGTCCCAAATTATATTATGTACAGCTCTTCTAAACAACAAAATGCGCTAAAACAAATATCATACTAATTATTTGACCCATTGTACTGTATGTAGTACAGAAATATCAGGTAGACTCTTAGATTTTGATTGCTTCAATCTTGTATAACTTTTGAACGGTTTGTCCGATTGAACTAATTTATTTAAAGAATTTGATTAAAATTAAATTGTCTACAATTCCTGTGAACAACAAAATACTCTATAACACACGTAATACTAATTATTTTGCCCAATGCAGTATGTATAGCACAACAGCATCAGGTACACACATAGACATTGGGTTAAAAAAACTTTTGTAACTTTTGAACGGTTTGTCCGATTGTAATGATTTGTTTGACAAATTTGTTTAGAGTTAAATTATCTACAATGTTCTGAAATAACAAAATGCCTCAAAATAAATATTACACTAATTATTTAGACTTCTGTATAGTGTATAGCACAGTAACATCAGGTACACACTTAGATATTGTTTAATTAAATCATGTTAAACTTGTAAATAGTTTGTCCGATTATAATCATTTTTGTGCCAAATTTGTCTAAAATTAAATTATCTACTACTTTTCTAAACAACAAAATGCTCTACACTAATTATTTAGCCCAATGTACTGTTTATAGTACAGCCACATCAAGTACACACTTAAATAATGCTTTACTAAATTTAGTGTAACTTGTAAACACTTTGTCCGATTGAAATAATTTATTTTGCAAAATTGTCCGAAATTAAATAATCTATAACTCTTATAAGCAACAAAATGCTCTACAACACACCTAATACTAATTATTATGCCCGATGTACTATACATAGTACAGTAACATCAAGTACACACTTAGATATTGTTCTACTAAATTTTGTATAACTTTTGAACGGTTTATCCGATTTGGATAATTTATTGAGCAAAATTGTCCAAAATTAAATAATCTATAACTCTCTTGAACAACAAAATGCTCTACGACACACTTTGCACTAATTATTTAGCCCAATGTACTCTAAATAGTTCAGCCACATCAGGTACATATTAGATAGATATTGATTTACTAAATCTTGTACAACTTTTGAACTGTATGTCAGATTTAGATAATTTATTCGGCAAATTTGTCCAGAATGAAATTATTTACAACATACTTAAATAACAAATTGCCGTACCACAAACGTTATGTAAACTATTTAGCCCACTGTACTGTCTATAGTACAGAAACATTAGGTACACACTTACATATTAATTTACTAAATTGTGTGTAACTTTTAAACGGTTTATCCGATTTAGATAATTTATTCGGCACATTTATCCAAATTTAAATACTTTACAAATCTTGTGAACAACAAAATGCTCTACGACGAACGTGATACTAATTATTTAGTCCAATGTACTGTCGTTAGTACAGTACTCACTTAAATATTCCTTTACTACATTTTGTATAACTTTTAAACGGTTTGTCCGATTGTATTGATTTATTCGAGAAATTTGATCATAATTAAATAACATTCAATACTTCCATATAACAAAACTTTGTAAATCAACTACGTATACTTAAAACTGCAAAAGAACTTTATTATTCTGCAAAAAAATCTGATTTAATAACGCTTTATAGTCTCGGCGTTTCAAGTCATTTTGTCAAGTAAATCCTATTTTTTTTAAGTGCTTTCACACACAAAACCTTTCATTTATAATTTTCTAAGAAGATGCACCTTCATAATACTTATTTTTTAAGTATTTATATTAAATATTTGGAATTTAATATTTACCTCTTTGAGGCACAACCTCGCGGCCATATGTTAAAATTCCGGTGTCATCTACAATTTGTGTCAATCGTTCTAAAAATAAAAATTATTTGAATAAATAAATAAATTGATAACTATATAAATAAGTAAATATATAAATAAATTAATATTTGAATTATTCTGAGTAAAAAATATTTTGGTAGGTACACAAGTAAAGAAAGACTCACTTTTCCCATCAGGACTCTTGCAAAAACTTATAGTTTGCGGATCTGCATTCTGAAATTAATAGCAAATTATTAAAAGCATTAAAAATAATGATAATTAAAATATATTCATATTTATTTATTTATTTATTCATTTATTTGATATTTACCTCCATCAAAAACTTTTCCTGAGGACTCGCCGGTACGACAGCCTATTTTTTTATTATAAATTAATAAAAAAATAATATTTAATATTAAAATAAATAATATTTATAATAGTATAAATTTTAATTTTAAAAACTCATACCTGTGCTCCTCCTGCTGGAGTTAACTGAAAAATATTAAAAAAATTAGGATAAAAATGAATTTTTATATAAAACATATATAGAAACTCGTTATAGATTAAAGTCTGTGTTATAAATGTAATATTTTGGATATGGTAAAATATACAGGAATTTGGTAGAGATAAACATTGTTTGGTATTCAATTCTCAACAATTTTTGCTAATACACAAAAAGGGCTTTGATAAATGGATCAAAAGATATTTGCAAAACAATGAAAAAATATCTCGCAAGTGAGAATTCTGTTAAGTAAATAAAATGCATAATGTTTCAGACAAAAGTTCGTGTTAAAATTGTCATAACTCAAAAAATGTTGAAGATAAAAGAATTTGGTAAAAACAAAATTTGTTTAGTATTTAATCCTCTACAATTTTTGCTAATACATAAAAAGCTTCTGATAAATAGTTAAAAAGATATTTGCGAAATAAATAACAAATGTCTCGTTCTAAAGTGAAAATAGTTTTGTTAAAACGAAGAGTGATATATAAATAAAACATATAAAAAAATGATTTAAAAATTTGAATCTAACTAATATATATATATATATATATATATATATATATATATTGGTTAAATTCTAATTTCATTTTAATCATATATTAAAAAAATATTAAATAAAACTTACAGGTGATCCTTCAGCAAATTCCGGCGACGATACATCGGCTATTCCCTAAAAACAAAATTATTGTTAATATTTTATATATATATATATATATATATATTTATATATATATATATATATATATATATATATACATACCGAGCCCAGACTTAAATCTCTACTTGGAGGTGTAATGTCAGCTAAATCCTGCAAAAAAAAAATAGATATTTTTTAAGTTCAATTTGTTTAAGTATTAAAAACCGTTTTATAAACTTTTAATTTAAAAAATATATATTTTTCAAGATCCATAACTTTATTTATGCTATTAATTTTATATTACCATTATTATTTTATTTTATTTTAATCAAGATATTAATATCTTAATTAACGAAAATAAATTATAACAAAAAAAGATCCATAATAAGTCAATAATAATTTTGCCACACTTGAAATACATTAAATATAGTACAAATATAGTACAATATTAGAAACAATATTACAGTTTATTAAATTTTGTACAAACATACAACGCAATTTTTATTTATTTTTGAATCACATAATTCAAAGTTCTTTACTATACCAACAAAGAAATTTTTAAACAAATATTTAAGACATTATAATAAATATAACAATTAATTTTAATTAATCAATAATTTTAACCATTACTTTATTATTTAGCACCCCATTTTTCCAAAATACGCATTTTTACTTTATTTGACGAATTTCATTCTTTATTTGTGAAAAAATATTTTTTTAAGTTGCATAGTGTGATACAAGCTTTATGGTAAAGCCCGCGTCACACTTGCCGTTTTGTATTTGAGAGTGTAAACAAGAGTTGTATGGGGCCGGTTAAGTGTGGTAGTGGCTTTAGCGTTTAAAGCCATTTCCACACTTGCCGGTACTGAGAAAAATATGAAGATAAAAAGATCGATTCTTTTTGGTATAAATTATTGAGTAAGAAAAAAAAGTATTGTTATCAAAAAATGATATGGATCATAGAATCTGAGTGTAAAATGCTCAAAAAAGAAATTGAACCAAACGATCAACGTTAAAAAAGTTTAATTATATAATAAAAAATATAATAAAATAAAATAAAATAATGTAATATAACAATATAATAAAATAATGTAATAAAAAAATTAATCATTTTAAAGACAAACAACAACAAAATTATTGAAATTAATAGAAATCAGAGGAAATTCATATCCAATATTAAACGTAGGAATAGATTGAAACAAATAAAATAAAACAGAGACAATGATACCTGATATATATATATATATATATATATATATATATATATATATATATATATATACACGTGGTGGTGGTATCGGGCATCGTCCCATTACCTGTAAAGAAATATTTAATAATTATTATAGTTGTTATAAAGTTAACTATATATTATATTTATAATATTATATATATATATATATATATATATATATGTATATAATCATACCGGTGATCCAGGACTTTGCACACCACGAGGAGGAGACACTCCTAATAGACCCTAAAAATTAATAAAATGTTTTAAATAACGCAGGTCCAAAAAAAAATTTTTATGTTAGGTATGTAACATATGTTTTTTTCCAAAAAGACTCAAATTTAAAATGAAATAAGTCAAAATTGGGGGGATATACTGCAAAAAATTGAAAATTTGTAAAAAAAAAGCGACAAAATCTCAGATCTAGCAGATTTTTTGCATTATAAATAAATACTTATGATAATTTCATGTCGTTTTCTAACCCTTTTTTCCTTAAATCATCTTTGAATTTCTTTTTGTGTAAAATTTAAAAGCAATTTGAAATTTGCAATTGAATATTTGAAAATGTAGAATGCAATTATGTTTGCAGATAAACCAGGCGCAATGGGCATTAAATTAAAAGTTTAAAGTTTACTTTTTAGGTTTTTTCTAGCGATAAACAAAATTATAAGTTATAAATATTTTTTAAATATTGAAATTTAAATAAAATTGTGATTGCTATTAAATTTCTGAATAAAAAATAAAAAAAGGATATTGAAATTTATACATACCGGTGACCTCGAAGCCCTAGGACAAGGTGTCATAGCAGCAAGACCCTAAATATAAAAGTAAGTTAGATTGTTTTGTATATATATATATATATATATATATATATATTTATATATTATATATTCTTACTGGTGATCCAGTTACAGGAGAACCTCTTGGTGGAGTAACATCACCCAACTATAAGAATATAATTAATACATTATAATAAATTTTATAAACATTTTAATTATTAGAGATTAATTTATATAATTTAAGAAGTCTAGATGATAATGTTTACAAAGATAAAAAAAATCATTCCTTTTATTTATACTATTTTCTTCTAGCGGAATAAAACACGATTCTGCAAAACGTCTTTGTAAAATGCTGGGATCATGATAAAAAACTTTTGCATCGTGAAAATTAAAAGTATGATTTTTAACTTAAATGAATATCTTTAGTTTTAATAGTTTTTTCTTGGCTTTTATTTGCCGGTTTGCTGTCACATTGTTTTAAACGTTTGATTAGATTTTGTCGCCATCATTTCATTCAATTTTGTAAACTATTAGATTTATATGGCAAATTAGTAGCTGACTTTGATTAAAAAAGAGATTAAAAGGTTTGTTCAATATTGCCAATTTTTTATTGTTATTATTTAGTTGAATGAAGCACGATTCTGCAAAACGTCCTTGTTAATGGTAATGATTTATTTGATTTACAATGATTTATATGAATTATAACGATTACATTAGAAAGTGAGAGTTAAAAGTTTGTAGAAAATTGCTAACTAATTGTGTATAAGTATTTCAAAGATGAAAAATAGATTTTAGGGTTAATATATAGAAATTTTTAATATAAGATAATTTATATATTAGGTTGTCAAATATCTCCCTTCCGCTTTTTTGTTCTTGGTTTATAATACAAAAAAGCGGAAGGGAGATATTTGACAACCTAATATATATAAAATTTATAAAAAAGTATATACTTACAAATGGTGATGGAAGTGGACATGGTGATATCACCTAAAATTTGGATAAAAATAGAATAAACTTTATATAAACTCATTGAATTGTATTAATATGTTAGATATTCAATAACTTGAAATTTATTCGTGATACGATATAAATTATACTGTCATCATATATATATATATGTATATATATATATATATATATATATATATATATATATAAAATTACTTACAGGTGATCCAGGGCTTCCAATACCTCTCGGTGGAGTTACATCAAGTAAACCCTGAAAATAAAAAATATATATTAATATTCAATTATAAATTCTAAATTATACATTAAATTATTATTAAAAATAACTAATAAATAACTAATACTTACAGATGTTTCTTGAGGTGCTGCAGCACCCTGCAAAAAATTAAATAAATAATTATTATTGTATATTTAATATACTATATTTTAAAGCGTATATATTACAGTAATTAATTAAAATATTAAGTAATTAAATTCATTCCATTCATTCTTATTCATTTTTACTTTATCGCTTGTAACTTCTAAACTATTCCTATGATTTGAATTAAGTATTAGGCAAATTTATTTAAAATTAGATTTTTAACAATGTTGTCTAACATCATTAAATCAACTAGGTATACTTAAAAACGCATTTTCAAACATACAACTTTGCTTCCGCCTTGATTGAAAGGCATTCGTATTGCAAAAACGGCGGAAGCAAAGTTGTACACAGAAATTTGGAACATAGTTTCTAGTTATCTTGCTTTGTAATTCAGTATACTTAGTGTACATTTTTACTTTATCGCTTGTAACTTCTAAATTATTCTTTTGATTTGAATCATGCATTCGGCGAATTTGTTTAAAATTAAATTCTTAACAATGCTGTCTAACATCATTATGCTCTACAGCAACTCGGTATACTTGAAAACGCATTTTCAAACATACAACTTTGCTGCCGCCTTTATTGCAGGGAATTCGTATTGTAAAAACGGCGGAAGCAAAGTTGTATACAGAAATTTGGAATAGATTTATTAGTTATTATTATAATTAGAATAAATATTGTTTGTACATTTGCTTTGGAATAAAAATAAGTATTAGTTTTAACAATATTGATAAAATGAAAAATATTTTAAATATAAATATATATAATTCTATATGTAAATAGAGAGAATAAACAAATATATATAAAATTCCACTTACATAAGATAGTCGTCTCGAACGCAATCTCTGAATCTAAAAATAAAGAAAAATAATTTTAAATAAAATTAAATTTATTATATATGTTATATATATATATACATACATATATATATATATATATATATACTAGTATAATTTATTATTAAATTAATTATTTTTGAAAATACTTACTGGAGGTCTCTGTGGTGTTGCCACTGGTACCTGTGAGTATAAAAAAAACATTATTAAAATGTACATTAATTTAACATTTTTTTAAATAATTATAAATGTAATCAAATCATAAGTTCTTTGATTTGTTGAGCTGACTTTTTAAACAAAGTTGCGTTTTATTTTCAGTTTTATCTTTATATTGTTATCTCCGTTCATCTCTAATCACTCGTTTAATGTCTCTAATTACACTACAATATTCATCTCTATATGTCGTTATTTGTGGATAAAATATACCATATATAATTATAATTATACGCAAATTTTGTTTTTTTAGTCATTCTATCCATATGTGATTCTATTTACAATATGCAATATGATGTATTTTTTATTACGATATATGTAATACTGATACATTTGCTAAAAATGCTATAAAAGCTCTTTTCACTTGACAACACATTGATAAATATATTTTGAAAAGAAAACCGACGTCACTACTGCCTAACATCAGGTTGTCCGAAGATATCAAACCAAGAAGTTCATAGCTCTTAGCATTAGGCTACGAGTGAGCCTACATTTAATACAAGTTACGAAAACGTGATTTCTGACCAAATTTCAATGTTGGTTAATAAATTTAATATCCCTTGAAAAATAAATAAAAATAATAATAAATTTTGAAATTTTTCATAATAATACGGAACCCAAAAAATTTGCATAATATTATTTATTACATTAAGAACGATTTTTAACTAAAATGAATAAAAAAATTAAAAATAAAACTTAGTACTTACGGATGGTGGCTGTGTCGGGAACCTTCCGAAGGGCTAAAAAATAAAATTTGTATTAAATATGAATACTATATTACATATATTTGAATTTCTTTGCTCCCAAGGGCTCAAATGCTTCCAAATTAATAAAAGAACATCCTCTAAAAGTTTCAGCTCCTAACATTAACATTTAGATAGTGCGCAAATCGATTAAAAGTTTCAATTAGGTTCAATTAAAACTTTTAATCGAACTGCGGACTATCTAAATGTTAATATTAAGAGCAAAAACTTTTAGAGAATTTTTTTTAAATATTTGGGAAGCGTTTGGGACCAAGGAAATTCGGAAATGTCTATATAAAGGACCACCCTAATATATAATAATATATATATATATATATATATATATATATATATATTATTTATACAAACCGGGGTCTTGGGAACCCTTAATGGAACAGAAGCATCCATATAATGACCCTGAAATAAAAAACATTTATTTAATATATATATATATATATATATATATATATATATATATATATTTGTTTATTACCGGTGTAAATCCGCTGATCATAGGAATGGATGGTTGTCCAAAGCTCAAATCTTCCATTTCCTGAAATATAAAATAATTTATTATAAAAGAATTATATTTTACAATTACCATAGAAATTTCCAATATAATAGACAAATATTGTGTATTGGAAATTTGTAAATATTACATACATACAAGAAATGCATTATTTCAACACCAACTTACACAAAATGTCATAAAATAGTTAAACATGATTGCAAATATATATAAAAACAACAGAGAAAAAAATCAATAAGAATCCTAAAAGGCATAAAATAGTATACAATATTATTATATAATTTGAATTATCATCGACTAATAATATCATTGATATTAACTGTTCAAATAAAAAAGGAGATTTCTTTCATCCCATATTTACTTTAAGTATTACGAAATAAATATTTTCTAAGTATTTTTTTCCTGAAACTGTTCTTAATATTTTTTATAATTATAATTTTAATTTTAATTTTTTTTAAAGCTACTTATTTATCGTTTTTTTTATTTGTACTTTTTATATATTTTTATTGTGTTTTTTATTGTCTACTTTGATCAAATTTCATTGTTACCACACTAGATAGAAAGAGAGCGTTGCATACACAACCGTGTGAGCGAGCGAGTACGATATATGCATGGTGGGGTCCGAACTTAAAGAATATATCAAAACTAAGACATATCTGTATTTAAACAATTAATATCAATTGTAACACTAACCAATGATAATGTAAACTAAATGAAAATTTGTATTGTTTTAATTCTTTTAACATTCTTTCCTTCTCTGTTGTTTTTAACTTTGAATGAAATTTTAGTAGACTTAAATAAAATGTGTAGCAAATGAGTTAAGAGAACATTAATTTGTAAAGGTGTTAAAGTTATCTCAAGTTAGTTAGTTAGTTATATATATATATATATATATATATATATATATAACTATATAAATATATAAGAAAGTAATAAATTTATTATGAAAACTTACATAGCCTTGTGCAATTGGGCAAGGAGCCATCTGAAATATAAAATAATATTAATACATGTATATATATATATATATATATATATATATATATATATTTAACAAAATTATTATATTACCGGTGTATATCCACCAAAACTAGGAATAGACGGTTGTCCAATACTCGAATAATCACTCAGTTCTGGAGAAGATATATCCATCACTTCCTAAAAATATAACAAAAAATTTACTACCCAAACTTAAAATTATAATTTTGATAAATTATAATAAATATGTTACAAATAAATAATTAAAAATGTCGTTAACAATCCTCGACTTACCGCTGGACTGGCCTGAAACAACAAGAAAATTTGGTAAAATTTTATATTAATAAATCTATGTCTTATATTAGAATTTAAAATAATATTAATTTTGATTTTATGATAAATTATTTTGGAAATGGAAGCAAAAATATTTGTTAGATTTGTTAAAGAAATGTGTTTGATACTTACATAGTCTCGTGGACGTGGGAAAGGACCAATCTGAAAATTAAAAAATAAATTATATATATATATATATATATATATATATTTATATATTAATTTATAATTTCTTACCGGGGTAAAATCTTCACGATATGGAATGGATGCATCTAAACTCGAAATACCACTAATATCTGGTGCAGATAAATCATCAACATCCTAAAATATACAACAAATTAATATATATTCATTATTATCCAAACAATTGTGATGTTGCTACAAGCACTCCCCATCGACTTACACTCATCTGAAACAAAGGAAAATAAATGTTACTATTTATATATAATAACATTAATGTAAGAAATTTGATAACTCAATTATATTGTTATATATTTATGTTAAAGTAATTTGAAATTGAAACTTTATAAGACTTATTGTATGAAAAAAATATAGTTCTGTTCATATTTATATACTATTATAAATATATAAAGTTTAAAATAAATACTTACGAAAGCAGCTGGACGTGGACATGGACCCATCTGAAATTATAAATATTATTAATTAATAAATAAGTATTTATTCTAATTAACAAGATGCATTACTAATTATAATTTAAATGAATAGAATTATATAAGAGTCAAAAGAAATATTATATTATCATCAGTAACCAATTTTCTGTGAGGATTTTAACGAAAAGTCTAATTATTAAGTAGTTAGTACAATAATAATTAATTTGTTTATTTCTTTATTAAATTTGTTTTTCTTTATTCGTCTATCCTAAATTTCGTTTGGACAACACTAAATAGAAAGAGAGCGATGCATACACAACCGTGTGAGCGAGTGAGCGAGATATATGCATAGTGCGGTTAATACTAAATATAAATATCAAAACTATGACACATGTTTTAATTATTTAAACAATTTATATCAATTATAACACTAACCAAAGATAATGCAATTATGTAAAAAGATTGCATTGTTTTATTTCTCCTAGCATACTTTTTTCCTATCCAGAAATACATAAAAATCGATCAAGTGATCAATGGACGCCTTGTTATTAATTATACTTCTTAATAAAGTGAAAAGTTACAGTAAGCATTTAATGCAATTCAAATACAAATATCATCTGCTGTTGTTCTGTCCTCCAAATAAAATTTTAGTCATTTTATATAGCGTTATGTGTTGCAAATGGGTATTATATTTACGAGTAATATAATATTCCATGATTTTTTCTAAGATTTTTTTTGTATTGTAGTAAGAAAAAAATATATATCTTATGATAAATATGTTATAATTTCTTACCGGTGAGAATCCACTACGATATGGTATGGATGCATCTATAGTCGATACACCACTCATTTCGGGTACAGGTAAATCAGCAACAGGCTAAAATAGAAATTATTATAAAATACTTTCAACAAAAAAAAATTTCGAAAATATTTCAATATTATGTATATATCAAAATGTTACTACAAGCACTCCCCCTCGACTTACACTCATCTGAAACAAAAGAAACGAAATATTAATTTTGATTTCATGATAAACTCAAAACAAAAATATTAGTTCAATATATATTTTAAAAAATGTATTTGAAACTCACATAATTTCGTGGACGTGGATAAGGTCCAATCTGTAAAACAAAAACAATAATTATATATTTACATATATATAATATATATATATATATATATATATATATATACAATATAATTTCATTTATAATTTCTTACCGGTGTAAATGCATTACGATAAGGTATGGATGCATCTAAACTCGAAATTGCACTCACGTCAGGTCCAGATACATCAGAAACACCCTAAAACATACAACATTACAGTATACTTTCAACAAACAACCCTTGAGACAATAATTCAATTCCATATATAATTATTAAAAAAACTACAATGTTGCTACAAGCACTCCCCCTCGACTTACCCGCATCTGAAACAGAAGAAATAAAAATTAGTTGCTAATTAAATATACCAATATCACATTTTTATAAAATTTATGTTAGAGACTTACGAAAGCTGGTGGACGTGGACATGGTCCCATCTGAATTTTTAAATATTATTAATTAATTAAATAGTTAATATTTGTAATCAGTAAGTCAAGTACTTACTGGTGTATATCCAGTGATTCTAGGAACCGAAGGTTCTGTCTCATCAGCCTGCAAAAAATTCACAAAATTGTATAAATAAATAATTAATTAAGTTAATTATTAACTATTAATAGAACGAGTATATAGAACAATTGTACTGTACGTATTATAATATAATATATCTGTATTTTTTAATATATCTGTATATAAGATTACTGGACTTCTAGTTAATGTTGAATGTCACAGCTGGAAACCACTCGGGCACACAGAACGTTAGTGTAATGAGTAAAATAAATGAATAAGAAGATAATTTAAAAAACTATTTTTTTTTATGAAATTTCTGAAAATATATTTACTCACCATATCAATTCTCGTACTTTCCATTCTTGGACTCCTCTGCAAAAAAATAGTTAAGATAAGTTAAAAAAATATTTATGTTAATGTTTATTTACTGTGAAATTTTGTAAACAAATCAAAGTTTTAATATATTAATTAATTTTTAATTTGATGTTTACCTATTGAAAATTGTATGTAAATAAATTAAACTTCATAAAATGTCTTTAATAGTTAATATATTTAGATGCAACTTGAAAGTCATATAGGTACGAAACAGGATTTAATGTATATATATATTTTTTTTGTTATAAATTGTTATTTTTGTTAATCAAGACTTTAATGAATTATTTACAAAATTGATAGGTACTATGAAGAAATGAATAATAAAAAGTAAGTAAAAAATACGAAGAATTGAATATAAAACAAAATAAGGTTAAAATAAATTAAAATAATAGTTGTAACACAAAAATAATATTATAAATGTACTATGATGTGATGATGTATGCGCTAATATATTTTAAGATGACGTATGTGTTAATATAAATTTATTTAAATTAACACACACATTAAATTTATTTTGTCACTTATTTGTTTTTCTAGTATCATTTTTATTAGTCAGAAATTTCATTTACTTTATTTTTTAATTCAATTATTATTATTATTTGCTTTTATTTTATATTAAATCATCACACTACAATGTCATTTTATTGAAAATTCTATCTCTAATTTTGTACTCTTTTTCATTAATATTTATGTTATTGTTCATCATTGTAACTAGATGTTAAATTATTTAGCAGTTGCAACAAATATTGTAATTTAAGAAAAGTTAAATTAGATATAAATGCATGATTTAAGCAACTTGTATTTGACTGTTTTTGTTCAATATTTATTCATTAGATTTATTTATTATTATAATGTGAAGAAAATGTAGTTTTTTAAATAAAGCAAAAAAGATAGCAAGAGAGTAAACCTTAAATGTCAATATTTTCCATAGATATATCAATAACAGCACTTAATATTTATTTAATTTTGTCTTTTTTCTAATTTGTACTTTTTAAATTAATTTTTGTTTTTTCTTTATTCGTCTATCCTAAATTTAGTTCTGACAACACTAGAGTGAAAGAGAGCGATGCGTACACAACCGTGTGAGCGAGTGAGTAAGATATATGCATAGTGGGGTTCATACTAATAAAAATATCGAAACCCGGACAAATTTTTTTACATAAATATAAAACTTGAACTTAAATATTCATATCATTTAGATCAATTGTACCATTAACTAGTTATGATGTGAATTTTATTAAAATAAGAATATTGTAATAATTTAGTCCTTTTAAATTGCTTTTCATATCTATTACGTGTACAAATTTATATTAATTATAAAATAAAAAAAACTTACCATAGCTCTAGGTGCTCGTGGACACGGTCCAGGCTGTAATAAAAAAATTAAGATTATTATTAAAATATGAACATAACACTTTTTTTGCACTATTTAATAATTATTTTAGATTTTACAAACGTTTAGAATCTCGGTTCATCTCATCACCAGTGCAAAAAAAAATGCTAATTTAATCTCTAAAATATAGACGACCATTTTATCCATATTAATTATACATATTAATATATAAGTACATTTTTCTTTAATTATTGTAAGTTTTCAGACCTAATTATTATTTAGTATATAATTTAAGTTATTATTATTTCAACATTGGTTAGGCAATCTTTAAGTAATTCTACTGAGTTCATACTAAAATGTTATATCAAAACTTGCCAATTAAAAATGTGACTAATGTAAATTTTTAAATTCAAACCAAAATAAAGTTTTAATTAAAAATTAGGTGTAACATTTAGTGGGAATAATTAAACCTGAATTATTAAACTTAATTTTAATTTTAATTTCAAAATTATCTGAACATAATTGCAGCAAATACGATAAATTTAGAAAAAGGAGATTGTGGTAAGAGGGTGAAAATTTAGTGTTGTATGTATTCTTGTATCGCATTATATAAAAAAAAAACATTATTAAGTCCAAGTGTTAAATCATAAAAACAATTTTGTTAAGAGTAAACAATCGATTCCTATCAGAATTATAAAAAAATGGAGGATAAATAGAAGATACAAAAAACTTCGTTTGTACGAAATATGCAGAATAAAATTACGAATAAAATGATATATAAATCATTAAGTCTGTTCATATAATTTACTCAAGATTTTCCAATTGAATTTTTTAATTACAACTTGCCTGTAGGCCACACCGTGCGAAATTTCAAGTTGCTATATATCGGAAAAAAACTAAGAATTTTGAGACCTTTCTGAGATGTTTTTTTTACAGAAATATCGAATAAAATTAAAACTAAAAAAAATCGATCAAGTCGTTTTAGAGAAGTATTAAAAACTAACGCCATCTATGATGTAAAGTTTAATAAATATAATTTATCATATATATACGTACTGGAGTGTATCCTTCAACACGTGGCACAGAAGCATCAGCAAATGCCTGCAAAGAAAAAAAATTATATATATATATATATATATATATATATTGATGGGTGTTTTTGTTTGTCTAATTAAGATTTTTAATAAAAATTTTAAATTATAAACTCACCGCTTGCAACTGTCTTGGAGCCATACGTCTGCCACGCTGGAAATAGTTTTAGAAATTATAAATATATATATATATATACATATATATAATATATAATTATATATAATTATATTATATATAATTTATAAATTTTACCGGTGACGGCCGACGAGGTGTCGTCTCCAACGCAGCCTAGAAAATAAAATAAATTCATAATACATAAATTATTAAATACATAAATATATTTTCAAAATCCAACCCACCATTCTTATTTGTTGTAAACGAGCATCCTGAAAAATATATAAAAACAAAATTAATTTAAAAAAAAAACAAATACATTAATAACTATAAATTATCAATTTAAGGACCGATTCTGCCGCACAACAGACGAATGTTATGGCAAGGCCATGTTCCATATATTATGCTACTGAATCATACTGAATACTGTCAAAATGTCATGTATTTGCTGTGCATTCAGGCGTTTTACACACAAACTGCAATGTCACTCGTATGTTATGAAGCTGAGTCAGAAAGACCCTGTTATCTAATGTTGTTTTTTGACATTTGTGCGGTTTCCAATTTAGGTTTTCTATCGGAGAACCTGAGAAATACGCCTGACTGCACAGCAACCGCATGGCTTTTGGCAATATTGAGTATGGAAATTTCTTCATCGTTCCTTTAATTTATTTAATAAGACATTTCTATATTCAAAAGTCTATTACGTTACACGAGTGAGATAAAAGATATAACGCAGCGAGTGAAGGAAAGAGAAAGATATAGTTTTAGATTTCAAGGCAAAAAGAGTAAAAGAGAGAGACTTATACGCAACTGTATAGTGTGACAGAGAAAGATATATGTGTAGGTAAATGTTGAGAGTTATTTGTGAAATTGAAAAATATATTATAATAATATATGTATAATAAAATAATAAATAATATTATTACTCACATAAGCAGACATTGGCTTGGCAGCAGGACACACTTTCTGCATTTAAAAAAAAAATAATTATAAATAAATAAATATATATATATATACATTTATATCTGGGTGGTCCTTAATATGGACATTTTGGAATTTCTTTGCACCCAAGAGCTCAAATGCTTCCAAATTAATAAAAAAAAATATTCTCTAAAGTTTTCTTCTAATATTAATATTTATACAGTTCGCAATTCAATTAAAAGTTTCGTATATTTATTATTAACATATGTCATTGAGTAAATTCTTGCGCCATCTGTGATAGCATTTGTAAACTCAAACATAGTGACTCTTAAAATATTTATAAATCACTCATCCTCTAATTAATTTCATGTAGATTGTTTAATAAAGTATTTACTTTTGAGAGATTTTCTTTTATTAGTTTGAAAGCATTTGAGCTCTTAGAAGCAAAGAAATTCGAAAATGTCCATATTAAGGACCACCCTAATATATAGGTATATATATATATATATATATTATAAAACTTACAGGTGACGGCCGACGAGGTGCCTCTTCAAACAAAGCCTAAAACCAAAAAAAACATTATGTATAAATTATTATATATATACATATATATATATATATATATATATATATATAAATATATATATATATATATGTGTGTGTGTGTGTGTGCGTTGATAGTTTTGTTGACAAAAGATTAAAATAGAAAGTTATTCAGTAAAAGTTTGGACACTTAATGTGTGTCGTCATCATTCAGTAATCTAAAAAAACATAATAACAATAGTTGAAATTAAATTTAAAAATGTAAAAAGGAGAACATTTTATATATACCAACTCAAAAAAAAAAAAATTATATAAAATTTATTAAACACTAAACTTGTTCAAAAGAACAACAAAACTAACAATAATTAATAAAGAGAGAAATTAAAAAAGCATATAATGCCCTTCTAACAATGCGTGATGTTCGCTCGCAATGCATAGAAACACAAATTCAAGGTTACGCGACACGTGCGGTAGAGTGAGTGGTTGCGGGGTGAAACAAAAAAAGAATGAGAAACAGAAAAAAAGATATAACGTACAATATTGTATATAACACTGTAAAGAATTACTTTTAATGAAATTTATAATGACTTTGTAACTGTCATGTAAAAGATGAGAAGAATTCCGTTTGTTGACACAAGAGGTATTAAGGGATATAGGTAACGACTCAAATATCTTTTAATATAAATATATATATATATATATATATATATATATATACATATTTGCAACTCACCGCTTCCAATTCCTGTAGGCGAGCATCCTGAAAAATATATTATAACAAAATTAATTTTCAAAATCAATATTTATAAAAATGCTTATTAAATAACAAGTTATCAATTTAAATGATATTTGATCAATCGAGAGAGTCCGCGATTGTCGTCGGCAAAGTTCGCTCAAACATGTAACGAGCTTGAGCACTCTACATATACAACGAAAAACATATGAGGACTTGCATTTATTATATATATATATATATATATATATATATATATATATATATATATAAAATAAAATATTTACTCACAACACGATACACTGGTGGTCTTCTAGGCGACCTAGCAGGACACACTCCCTAAATAATAAAATATTATTTATAATAATTATATTTAAATATATATATATATATATATATATGTATATATATATTTATATATATATATATATATATATCATCTTACAGGTGGTGTATATCCACCAAAACTAGGAACAGATGGTTCACCAATACTCGAATATCCACTCAAATCTGGAGACGATACATCCATCACTTCCTAAAAAATATAACAAAAAAATTCACTACCAAGGCTTAAAATTATAATTTTGATAAATAATAATAAATATGTTGCAAATAAATAATTAAAAATGTCGTTAACAATCGTTGACTTACCGCTGGACTCGCCTGAAACAAAAAGAAATTTTGGTAAAGTTTTAAATTAATAAATCTATGTTTCGTATTTGAAATTAAAATACTGTTAATTTTGACTTTATGATAAATTAGTTTGGAAATGGAAGCAAAAATATTTGTTAGATGTTTTAAAGAAATGTGTCTGATACTTACATAGTCTCGTGGACGTGGGTAAGGACCAATCTGTAACAAATTTAAATAAAATAATTATAATTTACATATACAATATATAAAAATTTACAATTCCTTACCGGTGTAAATGCATTACGATAAGGAATGGATGCATCTAAACTCGAAATGCCACTCACGTCTGGTCCCGTTAAATCAGATACATCCTAAAACATAAATCATTTCAATATACATTCAACAAAAAACATTTCAGGCAATATTTCAATTTTATAACGATGTTACTACACGCACTCCCCCTCGACTTACACTCATCTGAAATAAAAGAAACAAACATGATTTTATGATAAACTCGATACAAAAATATTTGCTAAATATATATTTTTAAGAATGTATTTGAAACTCACATAATTTCGTGGACGTGGACATGGACCCATCTGAAATTATAAATATTATTAATTAATAAATGAGTATTCATTCTAATTAACAAGAAGCATTACTAATAATAAATTAAATGAGTAGAATTATATAAGAGTCAGAACAAATATTATATTTTCATTGGTGACCATTTTTTGCAAAGGGTTTAATGGTAAAGTTAAATTATTGAGTAGTTAGTTTAATAAAAATTGATTTATTAGTAAAAAATAATAATGATTCCTAACATAGAATTATTGTAAGCATAAAAGACAAGTATTTGTTTACTGTCTAGTTTGTTTCGTCGGATATTTTTTGATACATTTTCTTGTTTATGTATAAAAGGTCATCTAAATTGGAACTAATTTGCCCCAGAATTTCAATGTAATTTTATTTGGAGTCTAATATTCATGATTATTGAATTAATTATTTCAATTATATTAATTTATTTATTAAATTAAATACTTTAAAAAGTCTTTATTTAAAATTGTCGTAAGAAAACCTAAACTAAAATATCATGTAACTTAAATATAAAGTGTCTATAATACTTGTGTATCATAGAATTACTTTTAGCTTCTTCTGTACTTTCTTTTTTTAATCATATTACATAAATAGAAAACATATAAATTTTGATGAAAACTACAAAAAAAATCAGTGAAAATGCAAATGTATATAAATATCGTAAATAAATTATACTCGGTGATTTTTTATATTATTAACAAATATTTCAAGTTTATGATTTAAACGTTTTTCTCAATTAGTACTTTATTCAATTTTAGTTTGTTATTTTTCTTTATTCGTCTATCCTAAATTTCGTTCTGACAACACTAGATAGAAAGAGAGGGATGCATACACAACCGTGTGAGCGAGTGAGCAAGATATATGCATAGTGCGGTTAATACTAAATATAAATATCAAAAGTTGGGAACATATTTTAATTATTTGAACAAGTTTTATCATTTATAACACTAACCAAAAAAATGTAATTATATAAAGATATTGTATTATTTTATATCTTCTAGCATACTTTTTTTTATCCAGAAATACATAAAAATCGATCACGTGATCAATGGACGCCTCCTTATTAATTATAGTTAACTTAATTAAGTAAAAAATTACACTAGGCATTAAATGCAATTCAAATACAAGTATCTTTCTCTGTTGTTTTGTACACCAAATCAAATTTTAGTCATTTTACATAGCGTAATGTGTTGCAAATGAGTATTATATTTACGAGTAATATAATATTCCATTATAATTTTTTTTTGTTTTGTAGAAAGGAAAAAAACTTATATCTTATAATAAATATGTTATAATTTCTTACCGGTGAAAATCCACTACGATAAGGAATGGATGCATCTAGAGTTGATTCAACACTAATTTCTGGTGCAGATAAATCACGAACACCCTAAAACACACAACATTTTTATATATTTTAATATTAATCATTATTAGAACTTTAACAATGTTGCTACAAGCACTCCCCCTCGACTTACACTCATCTGAAACAAAAGAAATTAGATGTTATTGAGAATATAAACATATTTTCTTCGATATACACAATTGTGAACAAAACTTACATAATTTCTTGGACGTGGCGCTGGTCCCATCTGAAATAAAAAATAATGTAAGCACATTTATATTTAATTATATTTATATATATATATATATATATTAATAAATATTTTTAATATATTTTACCGGTGAAAATGCAGTACGATAAGGAATGGATGGTGCACGACTTGAAACTTCACTTACATCAGGAGCCGAAACGTCCATTACAGTCTGTAAAATATTATATTTGTATAAATTATATTTATACATGTAACATTGTTTATAAAATTTGCAGTATAAAAAAATGACAATTTTTCATATAAAAAAGTAGCAGATATCTCTATTAAAGTATAATTAATTTGTATTCAAATGATAATTTTTAAGCTAATAAATTGTATCTAATTCAAAATCTGTATAGCTACAAAAGTAACAATCACGTAACACAGAGGTAACTTACAGTTCGTTAACTCTTTGTTACTCAAATGTTGCGTCAATGAAACGTAAATGTTTCATATACTTAGTAAAATGTTTCGTATACTTTTGTTAGTGTAAACGGTAAGTGGTTTTAATTTTGTTTCATGGCAAATGGCTTTATTTTTGTTTTAAGGCAAACTGGAAAAAAATAAAATAAATTCAAAAATTAACTTAAGTCTAATATAAATTGAAATATGTATAACGGTTCTAAACTAATTGTTGTGCCAATGAAATGTAAATATTATACGTAATATTTCACAGACGCTAAATGGATATGATTTATTAAATAAATTAATAAACTGTGAAGAATTTTAAAATATTAAAATAAAGTCAGGAAAACAATTATAAACTAATTCTAATGTAAATTAAAATCCGTATTACTACGTAACACAGAGGTAACATTCAGTTAGTTTGTTACATAGGTAATTGTTGCGTCAATCAAACGTAGATATTACGTACACTCACAGACTTATAAAGTCTATATAGTAATAAGAATACAAACTTAACATTAATATAAAATGATCTTTTATTAATTTCAGAAAAAAAAATCAAAAAGTATAAAATAGAATTGATTAATTAGTATTAAACTTACCGGGTCCATTCTTGGAATTACTGGTGACCTCTGTCGGAAAAAAATGATTATAATCAAATAATTTGAAATCATATAAATAATTATTAATATTTATATTGTATATACATTATATATATATATATATATATATATATATATATATATATATATAAAGATATGTAAACTTACACGGCCAGCCAATCTTGGACACGGACCAGTCTGAAATAAATAATATTATTGATGATTATATTAAAGACATGTATATTTAACCAATTTTAACAGTGAGTATAAAACGCAAAAATTAATTAATAATAACATTTACTGCAAATCTTTATTTCTATCTGTATATGATTTTAACTGAAACATCTCAGAAGATAAAAATTATTATGTGTGTACAAAAAAATAAAAGTATTAATTATGCAACAGTGGCTTTTTATATGTAGTTTATTAGTACGTATATGCTCCAAATAACTTTTTACGTTATTCAAATTTTATTATAGTTCAAAATTAATAAAAATTACGTGAGTGTGAAACTCACAAAATTTGTTTTTATGTAAAAAATTTCAATTTTTAACAAAGATTTTCTTAATTTTCATATTTAAGTAAACAAAATAAAATTTGTTACATAAAAGTATCCTAAAAGTAACGAAACACATTCTTATCATAGTGTTACACCATTTCAGACATTTCTAGATATATATTGTTTGAATTTGATTTGAACTTATAAAAATATTGATTTTAATGTTTATATTAATACTACTAGAAAATTTAAACATTACGAAATTTGTTTATAATATTACTTAATTATGAAAATTTAAAATAAAATAAAATAAAATATAAAATAAAAGTAAATAAATAAAGTAATAATAAAAAAATATTTTCTTATAATTAGTGCTATCAAATTGAAGTTTGTCACACAAAAGTATCGTGAAAGGTTCGAAACTTGTTTCTATAACCATGTTACATCGCTGTTTCATTACATTAAATTATTCAATTTTATGACATATTTTTTAATTAAAATTTAAATTCATAATAAGTATTTCTTAAATTTTTATAATAACGTTTATATAGGAAAAATTATTTGAACTTATCACACAAAAGTTTCGAAAATATTACGAAACACGTTTATATATTATGTAAAATTTTATTTAAACACAAATTTATTATATTTCAGATAAAAGTTCAATTTATAAAAAAATAGTATAATAGCTACACTATTATATTATTGTTATTATAATAGTTATTTAAATTTAAATTTACAAAAAATACTGTCTTTACTATCATATTAAAATTAAAGTTTGTTACGCATAAGTTACAAAACACATTGTTACATCGCAGTTACGTTATTGTAGTTACAAAATTTTACTATATGTTTTTATGAAAATTAATTAAATTCTTAAGAAGAATTATGTTTATTTCTTATTATTTTATTTTTATATTTATGCACTAAAATTAAAATTTGTTACACACAAGTATAGTAAAAGTTACGTGACTCATTTCCACGACTATGTTACATAGCTGTTACGTTAAAATAACTCTTTTAAATACATTAATAACTAATATACATTTGTTACATTGATGTTACGTTGAAATTTAGGTAATTGAATTAAATATAATATTCAAATTGTATGCAAAACTATTGAAATATATGTTTTAAAATTAAAATTTGACACACGAAGTATCGGAAATTATGTAACATATATCTACGTGTAAGTTACAATGCTGTTACGTTGAAATAACGTTTTCACATTAATAACTAATTAATACAATTATAAATTTAATAAAAAAAACTTACCGGAGTATAACCACTAACACGAGGAACTGAAACGTCTGCCAAAGCCTAAAAAATAAATGAAATGAATAGATTACATTTTTTTATATTTTTATTAATTTTGGTAACAATTTGTTTAAACACGTATATACTTTCAATATATCATTGGAATGGTAATTAAATGATCTATAAATCTGTATATAACGTTTAATAAACTTTTTAACAAAATTAAATACTAAAAATGTGAAAACTAAAATTTAGTATCAAATTGTCAGCCATGGGTGGATTTCATTGGATGCATTTCTTTATATTTGGATCAAATTTCTAAATAATTTATTCAAACACGTATATACTATTATATATCATTAGAAAAGGCAATAAAATTATCTACAAATCTGTATAAAACGTTTAAAACTTTTTGAAGCAAAATTGAACAGGAAAAATATGTGAAAACTAAGATTTACTATCAAATTAATAATGGATGGATTTCATTGATTACATTTTTTCATATTTTTATTAATTTGTTAATAATTTGTTTAAACACGTAAATATTTTAATATATCATCAGAAAGGTGATAAAATTATTTACAAATCTGTATATAACGTTTAAATAATAATAATTAATATTAAACAATTCAGCATTTTTAATGTGACTAAAAATAATATTCAATTAAAAATTTACTAACAGCTTCCAATTCCTCTGACGTCAAACGCCTTGGAGGCTAAAAAATAAAAAATAAACAAAAATTAAAAAAATAATTATATAACATCATTTTATGAAAAATAACCAAAGTTGATTAGATGTTATTTTTAACGTAGTTGTTACGTGTAAATTTGAACCGAAGCTAAAATTTGAAAAAGAGATATTATACATTATGTTACGTAATAGATATAAATTATATATAATTATATTATATATAATTTATAAATTTTACCGGTGACGGCCGACGAGGTGTCGTCTCCAACGCAGCCTAGAAAATAAAATAAATTCATAATATATAAATTATTAAATACATAAATATATTTTCAAAATCCAACTCACCATTCTTATTTGTTGTAAACGAGCATCCTGAAAAATATATAAAAACAAAATTAATTTAAAAAAAAAAACAAATACATTAAAAAACTATAAATTATCAATTTAAAGACCGATTCTGCCGCACAACAGACAAATGTTATGGCAAGGCCATGTCCCATACATTATGCTACTGAATCATACTGAATACTGTCAAAATGTCATGTATTTGCTGTGCATTTAGGCGTTTTACACACAAACTGCAACGCCACTCGTATGTTATGAAGCTGAGTCAGAAAGACCCTGTTATCTGACTGCACAGCAACCGCATGGTCTTTGTCAATATTCAGTATGGAAATTAATTTATTTAATAGGGCATTTCTATATTCGAAAGTCAATTACGTTGCACGAGTGAGATAAAAGATATAACATAGCGAGTGAAGGAAAGAGAAAGATATAGTTTTAGATTTCAAGGCAAAAAGAGTAAAAGAGAGAGACTTATACGCAACTGTATAGTGTGACAGAGAAAAAATATTATAATAATATATGTATAATAAAATAATAAATTATATTATTACTCACATAACTAGACATTGGCTTGGGAGCATAAATGATAAATAATATTATTACTCACATAAGCAGACATTGGCTGGGCAGCAGGAGGCACTACCTGCATTTAAAAAAAAATATAATTATAAATATATATATATATATATATATATATATATATTATATATATATATGAGTGAGTTCTTGAGGGCGATACATCAAACAAAGAAAAGCCAAAGATTTATAAAATAATCTTTATTTCCAAACGTTTCGACATTCAATTTAATGTCATCATCAGTGGATCTAAAAACAGTATGAAAATTAGCATATCTAGGTACTTATAATATATGTGGATTGGTAAAGTAACTATACAATAAGAGAAAAATTAACAAACAGCAACACTTAACAACAAACCAAATATAAAAGATAGGAAAGGTAGTAGAGACTAGAATTAAATGAATAATTAAAAAGTATAGGCAAAAATATTTAAGTACACTCATATAAACCTACGCATATATACATATATATACATACACATATACACACATATACTACATATATATATATACATATATACATATACATGCATATATCCATATACACACACATATACACATATAATACACACATATATATACAGATACAACAATATATACCTATATATGTACACATATACATGTAAGACTATACACATATAAATATACGTATATACATATATGCAACGTGCATGCATATTCACAACGACGTACATGTACATGTATGAACCATACATATACTCATACCTATCTATGTAACTATAGCTATACACGTATACACATACATATACGCATAAACATGTATATATACATATATACACACATATATATATATACATATAAATACATACATATATATATATATATATATACACACAATACATATATATACATATGTACATAAATGCTCACAAATATATATATATATATATATATATATATACATACACATATACATATACATACATGCATATATACGTATATACAATTACATGTATACACATATACATATGCACATACATACAAACATACATGTAAATAAGTAATATACATATATATACATACATACATATAAATACATATATATATATATATATATATATATATAAACATACAATATATGTAAACTCGTATATATGTAAAGCAAACAAATTATTTATGAAGATGGATAATACATATAAAATACAAGTGGACTTACATTACGTTGGTTGGTTACATATAGAGAAGTGTACACAGCACTAGAGATTGGCACTAACATTTATACAACTAACTTGTCAGCACTATGCATTTTTTATATAATTTTTTTGTATGATGTAAACAGAAAAATGATAGTTTTATTAGAACAAAAATGTAAGTAGAATTATGTAATTTCTGCCACGACTTCTGTACTTTGCTAGTACCGAGGCATGTATAAAAGTCACCACATGTTTTGAGAGATTTTTAAGGGTCATTCCAGGATTGTTATGGGCGGGTAGGTAGAAAATAGTCGGAAATTGAAACTAGTAATGTTAGGCTAGGTTTGTATGGTTAGAATTAGGAGAAAAAAAAAATTGGAAATGTTATTTAGTATTACTAAGTAGTTATACTAATAACTCAAAAATCTAAAATAAAAAATTTTTAAGGTTTATAAATGATAAAAAATTATAAAAACCGCAGACAATCGAATTATCACCAATTGGTTCCAAAAACCTACTTGGTCGGGTAGGTATTTAAATTATCATTCTTACCACCCTTCTAGCATGAAGATAGGCACTATTATTAATTTAGTCGACCATGCCATCCTACTCTCAGACAAATTATATAAAAAATGCATAGTGCTGACAAGTTAGTTGTATAAATGTTAGTGCCAATCTCTAGTGCTGTGTACACTTCTCTATATGTAACCAACCAACGTAATGTAAGTCCACTTGTATTTTATATGTATTATCCATCTTCATAAATAATTTGTTTGCTTTACATATATACGAGTTTACATATATTGTATGTTTATATATATATATATATATATATATATATATATATATATATATGTATTTATATGTATGTATGTATATATATGTATATTACTTATTTACATGTATGTTTGTATGTATGTGCATATGTATATGTGTATACATGTAATTGTATATACGTATATATGCATGTATGTATATGTATATGTGTATGTATATATATATATATATATATGTATATATATATATATATATATTTGTGAGCATTTATGTACATATGTATATATATGTATTGTGTGTATATATATATATATATATATGTATGTATATATATGTATATATATATATGTGTGTATATATGTATATATACATGTTTATGCGTATATGTATGTGTATACGTGTATAGCTATAGTTACATAGATAGGTATGAGTATATGTATGGTTCATACATGTACATTTACGTCGTTGTGAATATGCATGCACGTTGCATATATGTATATACGTATATTTATATGTGTATAGTCTTACATGTATATGTGTACATATATAGGTATATATTGTTGTATCTGTATATATATGTGTGTATTATATGTGTATATGTGTGTGTATATGGATATATGCATGTATATGTATATATGTATATATATATATGTAGTATATGTGTGTATATGTGTATGTATATATATGTATATATGCGTAGGTTTATATGAGTGTACTTAAATATTTTTGCCTATACTTTTTAATTATTCATTTAATTCTAGTCTCTACTACCTTTCCTATCTTTTATATTTGGTTTGTTGTTAAGTGTTGCTGTTTGTTAATTTTTCTCTTATTGTATAGTTACTTTACCAATCCACATATATTATAAGTACCTAGATATGCTAATTTTCATACTGTTTTTAGATCCACTGATGATGACATTAAATTGAATGTCGAAACGTTTGGAAATAAAGATTATTTTATAAATCTTTGGCTTTTCTTTGTTTGATGTATCGCCCTCAAGAACTCACTCATATATTTCAACATCAAAATTAACTACTAAATCATATATATATATATATATATATATATATATATATATATACGGGTGGTCCTTAATATGGACATTTTCCAATTTCTTTGCATCCAAAAGCTCAAATGCTTCCAAATTAATAAAAAAATATTCTCTAAAGTTTTCTTCTAATATTAACATTTATACAGTTCGCACTTCAATTAAAAGTTTCGTATTTATTATTAAAATACGTCATTGAGGAAATTCTTGCGCCATCTGTGATAGCATTTGTGAACTCAAATATAGTGACACTTAAAATATTTATAAATCACTCATCCTCTAATTAAATCCGTGTGGATTGTATTTGAGCTCTTGGAAGCAAAGAAATTCGAAAATGTCCATATTAAGGACCACCCTAATATATAGGTGTATATATATATATATATATATATATATATAAAACTTACAGGTGACGGCCGACGAGGTGCCTCTTCAAACAAAGCCTAAAACCAATAAAAAACATTATGTATAAATTATAATATATATATATATATATATATATTATATATATATATATATATATGTGTGTGTGTGTTGATAGTTTTGTTGACAAAAGGTTAAAATAGAAAAACTCTTTATTCTAGTGAACGTTTGGACACTTAATGTGTGTAGTCATCATTCAGTAATCTATAAAAACACAATAACAATAGTTGAAATTAAATTTAAAATTTTTTAAATATATAACAAGAACTATATAAAATTTATTAAACACTAAACTTGTGCAAAAGAACAACATAACTAACAATAATCAATAAAGAGAGAAATTAAAAAAGCATACAATGCCCTTCTAATAATGCGTGATGTTCGCTCGCTGTGCATAGCAACACAAATTCAAGGTTACGCGACACGTGCGGTAGAGTGAGTGGTTGCGGGGTGAAACAAAATAAGAATGAGAAACAGAGAAAAAGATATAACGTACAATACTGTATATAATACTGTAAAGAATTACTTTTAATGAAATTTATAATGACTTTGTAACTGTCATGTAAAAAATGAGAGGAATTCCGTTTGTTGACACAAGAGGTATTAAGGGATATAGGTAACGAGTCAACTATCTTTTATATATATATATATATATATATATATATATATATACATATAAATATATTTGTAACTCACCGCTTCCAATTCCTGTAGACGAGCATCCTGAAAAATATATTGTAACAAAATTAATTTTCAAAATCAATATTTATAAAAATGCTTATTAAACAAGTTATCAATTTAAATGATATTTGATCAATCCAGAGAGTCGAGAGAGTTCGCTCAAACATGTAATGAGCTTGTGCACTCTACATATACAACGGAAGACATATGAGGACTAGCAGTTATTATATATATATATATATATATATATATATATATATAATATAAAATAAAATATTTACTCACAAAACGAGACACTGGTGGTCTTCCAGGCGACCCAGCAGGACACACTCCCTAAATAATAAAATATTTGTAATAATTATATGTAAATATATATAATATATATATATATATATATATATATATATATAAAAAATTATATACATATATATATATATATATAACTAATACTATATATATATACTATTACTAATAGTTATGTAAATGTAAAAACATTGGATGATATTGCAACAAAATCGACGTGATTACTTTAAAATTACTTTGAACAATAATTTAATTAATATGTGAGCATTTACTTACATAAGGTGAAGCACGTCTTGGAGGCTGTAACAATGAAATATTATTAATACTTAATATATATATATATATATATATATATATATATATATATATATATATATATATATATATATATATATATATATATATATATTGAATGGTAGAGTCTTGGATTTGTGTATATTTTGTAGAGTTTCGAACAAGAATCCAAAAATAATACAAAATAAAAAACAAGAAAAGTTTTTAATAAACAATTTCTTTATTTAATTATTTGTTTTACTGTCGACGTTTCGGAACTAGGTACGTTCCATCTTCAGGACAACTGTCAAGAAACATGATCTTGATGAGATTTTAGCAAACAATATGTTTAGGAAAAGAAAATAGATTTTTCTTAAATAATAAATTAATTGCAAAAAAAAAATATATATAATAATGTACAGAAATATGTTAATATGATCACAATGAAAATGATAAAAATGATAAAAATAAATGAGTGGATTATCAGAACAGGATATTAAACATAATAGAAAATTTTTTGAAAGTTATGGAAAATTTTTTTAAGAAAAGGTTAATGACAAAGTTGAATTAATTACCTGTATGTTTGAATATATGTTAGCACTTTTTCACTAAACAAGTTTTTTAACAAAAATGAATTTGTGAGTTAATTTTCCGCCGAATAATTAGATTTTGTAAATCAAAATTACTAAAAGATTTGTCTTTTTTAAAATTATTATTTGAAACACAAATAATATTGTTTTTTAGATGTTGTGCGATTGGCTTTTGAAAATTAACTAATTGAAACTGGTGTGTCATTTGTAACACGTGTAAACACTTGAACGAAAGCTGTGAGATTGTATGTGTGTGTTTTTATATGTTAGGGTGTGAATACTTAAATTGTTGATCTTAAAAGAAAGTCGATATTAATTGTTTGTCAAAAAGTGTAAAAAATTTAAATATGAATCATGTAATAGGTTGTGATCTGATCTAATGTTGACACTGTTAGAAACATTTATAAGAATAAGACAACTCTCCGCGAATAATCTCCTAAAGATGCAACTTTCATGATATAAGATCTTTGGAGTGAAATTAAATGAATGGGCGTTTTCAATAGAGTGTTGTACTAGGGTACTTTTGAAATTTTTTTGTTTGTGGTGGACCACACTTAGTTCATGTTGTCTCATTCTTTTGTGTAAATATTGCGAAGTTTGTCCAATATATTGAAAAGCACAGTCATTACAAGAAACAGAATATACTACATTAGTATTGAAATTGGATGGGGTAGGGGATTTAATGTTCGTAAAGAATTGGTTGAAGGAGTGTAAGGATGAGCCTGATACTAAAATGTTTTCTTCTAACAAATTTTTTTATTTTGTATTATTTTTGGATTCTTGTTCGAAACTCTACAATATATATATATATATATATATATATATATATATAGTAAAATTATCATCTTACTGGTGTATATGCACCAAAACTAGGAACAGATGGTTCACCAATACTCGAATATCCACTCAAATCTGGAGGCAATACATCCCTCACTTCCTAAAAAATATACCAAAAAAATTCGCTACCAAGGCTTAAAATTATAATTTTGATAAATGATAATAAATATTTCACAAATAAACAATTAAAATGTCGTTAGCAATCCTCAACTTACCGCTGGACTCGCCTGAAACAAAAAGAAAATTTGGTAAAGTTTTATATTTATAAATCTATGTCTTATATTAGAATTTGAAATAATAATAATTTTGATTTTATGATAAATTATTTTGGAAATAAAATCAAAAATATTTGTTAGATGTTTTAAAGAAATGTGTTTGATACTTACATAGTCTCGTGGACGTGGGTAAGGACCAATCTGTAAATTAAAAGAAAATGACTATAATATATATAAAATTTTTGTTTTATTTTTAATCGTATATTCTAAATTTAGTAGGGACCCCACTAGAGTGAAAGAGAGCGACGTATACACAAACGTGTGAGCGAGTGAGTAAGATATATACATAGTGGTGTCAATACTAAGAATGAATACCGATAATTTATATTTTAATTATTCACACAATTAATATCAATTGTAACACTAAGCAATGATAATGTAAATTATATAAAATTTTTGTGTTATTTTATGCAAGATGCTTGCTGTTGTTTTTCTTTCAGTGTATATTACAATCAGAACGCTTATTAATATTTGAACGTAAATACTTTCTGCAATTTGACTATGTTACACTTTCATAAAAGTATATTCATTTTTAAATCGATTTAATATATAAATCATAAATACTGCTGTCTCTGTTCTTCTCAAAGCTGATTTCAGTCATAAGTCTTTTATCAAGGGGCTTTAATCAAGAAGTCTTTGTCAAAAAGTATTGCATTAAAAATGAAATATCTGTTAAAAATCCCATGCATTACGGTTAGTTTGGTTTTAAACACGTACGTAGTTTTGTCAGAAAAAAATATAATTGTTTATATATATGTATATATATATATATATATATATACAATATAAATTCATGTATAATTTCTTACCGGAGTAAATGCATTACGGTAAGGAATGGATGCATCTAAACTCGAAATACCACTCATGTCTGGTCCAGTTACATCAGAAACATCCTAAAACATACAACATTTCAATATATTCTCATCAAACAACATTTCAGACAATATTTCAATTTTTTAAATCATTATTAGAAGAACTGTCTTGATGTTGTTACAAGCACTCCCCCTCGACTTACACTCATCTGAAACAAAAGAAATCAAAGTTACTATTTATATACAGTAACATTAATGTATGAAATTTGATAACTAAATTATATTGTTATATGTTTATGTTGAAGTAATTTGAAATTAAGATTTTATAAAACTTATTGTATGAGAAAAATATAGTTTTGTTTATATGTATATACTATTATAAATATATAAAATTTAAAATATAGACTTACGAATGCAGCTGGACGTGGACATGGACCCATCTGAAATTATAAGTATTATCAATTAATAAATTAGTATTTATTCTAATTAACAAGCTGCATCACTAGTAATAAATTAAATGAATAGAATTATATAAAAGTCAAAAAAAAATTATATTATCATTGTAGACTATTTTTATGCAAAGGCTTTTAAGGTAAAGTTTAATCATTAAGTAGTTAGTCCAATAATAACTATTTTGTTTATTTCTTCATTTAATTTTTGTTTTTTCTTTTTTCGTCTATCCCAAATTTCGTTCTAACAACACTAGATAGAAAGAGAGCGAAGCATACACAACCGTGTGAGCGAGTGAGTAAGATATATGCATAGTGCGGTCCATACTAAATATAAATATAAAAAATTGGACAAATATTTTAATTATTTAAACAATTAATATCAATTGTAACACTAACCAATGATAATGTAATGTATTTTAAAGTTGTAATAAATTAATATCAATTTTAAATTAAAAACTAGGTGTGAGTGGTATTTTGCCTCAAGGCAAGTTGCATAAAGTTTTAGATATATGTAAATAATTAACTTAATAATAAGAAATCAATATACTAATTTAGGTGATTCATGATATTTGATTTTGTAGATTATTATTCTCTTTTGTACAATTTTGCACTTATATTTAAAAAATAATAAATATTAGAGAATCAAAACCAGAATAAGCAATATTTGCTCAAGATTTTGTCCCACAATTTATAGAAATATATTTATTTATACACTGTATTATATATTATAATTTCTTACCGGCGAGAATCCACTACGATATGGTATGGATGCATCTATAGTCGATACACCACTCATTTCTGGTACAGGTAAATCAGCAACAGGCTAAAATAGAAAACATTATAAAATACTTTCAACAAATTTAAAAAAAAAAATAATAATAATTTAATATTATATATCAAAAAGTTACTACGAGCACTCCCCTTCGACTTACACTCATCTGAAACAAAAGAAATTAAAATTAATTTATTTAATAAATATCACATTTCAAAATAAATCAGGCCAATTTGATAACATTTTTTTTTTTTAATTTGAGACCAAAATTGGAGCACGTAGACATATGTAACAAATAGATGTATGTGAGCGAAGATGAGATTTTATCAAAATTTCTAAAAAACGTCTAAACCGGTTTTTAAACATGCAAAAGCGAGTTGAAGAAATTCCATTATAATTATCCTATTTTCTTTTCATAATCATCAAAAAAAATTGTTTCCTAATTATTATAAAAATAGGTTATTAAACAACTTACAAAATTTCGTGGACGCCTAAATGGACCAATCTGAAAAACAGAAGTAATTTATTATATATATATATATATATATATATATAAAAGAAAAAAATTATTAGATTACTTAACATAATAAAAAAATTCAATAGACTTATTGATTTCTATACACAAAAATGTTCACCATAATTTATAATTATTATATTTTATTATTTTTATGTTTATTATTAGTATTTCTTTTTTTCTACAAATGTTTCAAATTCTATTAGTCGTTATTTATCATAATTATTAACACTATAAATATTGTTACCGTTGTCCAATTGTCTATCTTTATTATTATTATTATTTTATTTTACTAATTTTTCATTAAATTATAGATTTCGTTTAAAAAACCCTATTTTATTTTTCTATTGTATAAGTATTAGTTTCCTTTTAATCAAAATTGTAATATTTATATTACTTGAATTATTTAAACAGTTGTAACTGTAAATATATAAAAAAAGTATTCGGAATAGAATTTTTAACCTTATTTCGATTTTTTCCTATTTTCTATATCATTTACTATTTGCATTTCATAAAAATTTCAACCGTATTTTCATTTTTCTCAAACTTTATATATTTATTTATTTATTTACTTTACTTGCAAAAATATTTCAAAAACAGCATCCTATTTACCATTTGCAACATGAATTTTAACTTAATTTACAATTTCCCCCAACTTCATACATTATTTCATCGTTTATCTATTATAATTGCCGCGTGTGAAACACGCTTTAACCTAAAGCCGCCGCATCATCACACACTTTACTTAAAGCGCACGAAAACAACTCAATATGAAAACAGACACATGTGTTACCGGCTTTAGGTTATAAAGCGACTTCCACACGGGCGATTTTGTAACAAAAACGCATTACGATATAAAAAAATCCACAAAATCGAGTTAAGTCGTTATTAGTAAATATTTATAAATTTAAATACAATTTTTTACCGGTGTATATCCAGTGACACGAGGAACTGAATATTCTAGACTCGAAACTCTACTTGCATCGGGAGCTGATACATCAGCCAATGTCTGGTAATAAAAATAAAATAACAAATTAATATTTTAATATTTAAAAATTAAATTTTTAAATTGCTAAACTCACCATGCCCAATGCCGGACAAACTGGAGACCTCTGTAATATAATAAAAAATAAAATAAAATTTGTTAAATTAAATAAAATAATTTATAAAAAGTAAAATGTATTGAAGTAGTACATATTTATCTACATACATATATATATATATATATATATATATATATATATATATATATATAATAAAAATTAGAACTCACCGCCCTTGGACTTCCTCTCCTTGGAGATACCTACAAATAAAAAACAATATTAAAAATTAAATATTAATTATAAATTAAATGAAAAATTTGAGTAAATATTGAATATTAAATAAATTAAAATTAAATTTTAACTAAAAAATCTACAAAGTTAACAAGAATCTTTTCAATTAATTAATAAAGTGTTCAATGTGCAATTAAATGTTAAATTAGAGTTCTTTAACTCCCAGACTTCAAAACTTTACTTTTGCACCAGAAAATTTGATTCGCAAATGCTATATTTGTTTAGGCGTTTGATGTCATTCTGGATCTTATGGCAACTAATTAAAGTATTAAATAAATATATATGAGAAAAACATACATAAGCAGCCGGCACGCGTGGACAAGGTCCTCTCTGAAATTATATTATATAAATAAATAAATAAATAAATAAATAAATATATATATATATATATATATATATTATATATATATATATATGTGTGTATAATTATTATAATTGAAATCTCACCGGTGTATATCCACTAATTCGTGGAACCGAAATATCTGCCATTGCCTAGAAAAAAAAATAAAAATAAATAAAGACTGAATAAAACTGTAGTTGACATGTTATTATATGTCAAAACTTCATAAAACATCTATATATAGTCAATTTAGAAAAAAAGTTAAAAATTCGTTAAAAAGCGTCGTGTATCAATGTCGATATTAAAGTTGTTTTTAGTATGAATGTTAGTATGGATCTATATAAGTTGGAATAGGTTTATTTTAAAAACATTGCTAAAAATTACTAGACAATTTTATTATGTCATCTTAAGTAAAATTTTAAATTAAGTACTTCTGACAAAACTAACAAGAATTTACAAAATTCTATATGTATAGCTTATCAATTGAAAAAAAAAATTGAAATCGACTGGTTCGAAAGTACTTCAGTTTTTTTTAAAAACAAGAAGGATCATTTCTTTTATTGATGCTGTTTTTGTCTATTTGATTAAAAGAAGATTCTGCAAAACGTCTCTGTGATGTAATTGTTTTGTGATAATTCAGTGTATCAATGTCGATATTGAAGTTGCTGTTGGTAAGAATGTTAGTATGGATCTATATAAGTTAGAACAGGTTTATTTTAAAAACATTGCTAAAAATTACTAGACAATTTTATTATGTCATCTTAAGTAAAATTTGAAATTAAGTACTTTTAAACAACTAACAAGAATTCACAAAATTCTATATGTATAGCTTATCAATTGAAAAAAAAAATAGAAATCGACTGGTTCGAAAGTACTTTATAGTTTTTTTTAAAAAACAAGAAGGATCATTTCTTTTATTGATGCTGTTTTTGTCTATTTGAATAAAAGAAGATTCCGCAAAACGTCTCTGTGATGTAATTGTTTTGTGATAATTCAGTGTATCAATGTCGATATTGAAGCTGTTGTTGGTATGAATGTTAGTTTGAATATATATAAGTTGGAACAGGTTTATTTTAAAATCTATGCTAAAAATTACTAGACAATTTTATTATGTCATCTTAAGTAAAATTTTAAAAAAAGTACTTCTAAAAAAACTAACAAGAATTTACAAAATTATATATGTATAGCTTATCAATTAAAAAAAAATAGAAATCGACTGGTTCGAAAGTACTTTATAGTTTTTTTTTAAAAACAAGAAGGATCATTTCTTTTATTGATGCTGTTTTTGTTTTTTGAATAAAAGAAGATTCCGCAAAACGTCTCTGTGATGTAATTGTTTTGTGATAATTCAGTGTATCAATGTTGATATTGAAGCTGTTGTTGGTATGAATGTTAGTATGGATCTATATAAGTTGGAACAGGATTATCTTAAAAACATTGCTAAAAATTACTAGACAATTTTATTATGTCATCAAGTAAAATTTGAAATTAAGTACTTCTGAAAAACAAACAAACATTTACAAAATTATATATATATATATATATATATATATATATAATGCAAAACTTACTCTCTCAGGCTCTCCAAAGGCCTGCAAGAAAAAAATAAAATTAATAAATTTATCAAATATTATTTAAAATTATTCAAATAATTATATACTCACAGCTTCTAACTGTCGTGGAGCAACACGTCTTCCTCTCTGAAATAAATTTCAATTTATATATACATACACATATATTTAATGGTGGTCCTTAATATGGATATTTTCGAATTTCTTTGCTCCCAGGGGCTCAAATGTTTCCAAATTGATAAAAGAAAATTCTCGGAAAGTTTCAGCTCTTAATATTAACTCTAACATAGTCCGCACCCCAACCAAAGTTATTTTCAGTGGAAACTTTGGTTAGGATGCGGACTATGTTAGAGTTAATGTTAAGAGCTAAAACTTTCAGAGAATTTTTTATAACAATTTGAAAGCTTTTGAGATTTTGGGAGCAAAGATATCCATATGTAGGACCACCCTAATGTATATATTATATGTAATTTATAATTGTTACCGGTGACGGCCGACGAGGTGTCGTCTCCAACGCAGCCTAGAAAATAAAATAAATTCATAATATATAAATTATTAAATCTATAAATATATTTTCAAAATCCAACTCACCATCCTTATTTGTTGTAAACGAGCATCCTGAAAAATATATAATAACAAAATTAATTTAAAAAAAAAAACAAATACATTAATAACTATAAATTATCAATTAAAGGACCGATTCTGCCGCACAACAGACAAATGTTATGGCAAAGCCATGTTGCATACATTACGCTACTGAAACATACTGAATACTGTCAAAATATCATGTATTTGTTGTGCATTCAGGCGTTTTACACATAAAATGCAACGTCACTCGTATGTTATGAAGCTGAGTCAGAAACACACTGTTATCTAACATCGTTTTTTGACGTTTGTGCTGTTTTTAGTTTAGTTTTAGGTTTTCTATCTGACAACCTGAGAAATACGCCTGACTGCACAGCAACCGCATGGTCTTTTTCAATATTCAGTATGGAAATTAATTTATTTAATAGGACACTTCTATATTCGAAAGTCTATTTCGTTACACGAGTGAGATGCAAGATATAACGTAGCGAGTGAAGAAAAGAGAAAGATATAGTTTTAGATTTCAAGGCAGAAAGAGTAAAAGAGAGAGACTTATACGCAACTGTATAGTGTGACAAAGATAGATATATGTATATGAAAGGAGAGATGTCTTCTATGTTATTTACATTTATACATTCGTATTTTGTGAAAAATTAAAAATTAATTATATCAATATATGTATAATAAAATATTATAACTCACATATTCAGACATTGGCTGGGCAGCAGGACATACTTCCTGTATCTTGAAAAAAAAATTAATTAATTAATTATATATATAGGATTAAACTATATTCAGTTTTAAATAGTTTTAAATAAAATATTAATGGATGTATAGTAATAAGTAACTGTTTTTGAAATTACACTGAAGATGAGGGACACCATCGTCTCGAAACGTTTGTAATCATAAAATAAAGTTGTATTAAAAAATCTGAGTGCTCCTTTGTTCATATTAAACATTTAATATATATATATATATATATATATATATATATATATATATAAAATTATAAAACTTACAGGTGATGGCCGACGAGGTGCTCCTTCAAACAAAGCCTAAAACAAAAACAAAAATCCATTATATATAAATTATAATATATATATATATATATATATATATATACATATAAATATATTTGCAACTCACCGCTTCCAATTCCTGTAGACGAGCATCCTGAAAATTATATTATTACAAAATTAATTATTAAAATCAATATTTATAAAAATGCATATTAGATAACAATTTAATAATTCGATTGATAACAAAATCTTTAAAACAGTCTTAAAGTAAAACTTTTTAGGAGATGACTAAATGATAAAAAACAGGCAATTAAAGAAAACTAAAAAGATATCAAGTTAGTAATACTTATATATTCATATTTCATATAAATATATTGATAACAGCAACTATTTTTCGATTAATTTTAGATTTTTTCTTTACTTGTACTTTTTAAATTATTTTTTTGTATTTTTATTTGTTTATATCGAATTTCGTTTGAACAACACTAGAGTGAAAGAGAGCGTTGCATACAGAACCGTGTGTGCGAGTGAATAAAATATATGCGTAGTGTCGTCCATAATAAAAATAAATGTTGAAACTCGGACACATAATTTAAATATTCAAATTATAAGGTATATATATATATATATATATATATAATAAAATAAAATACAATATTTACTTACAAAACGAGACACTGGTGGCCTTCCAGGCGACCCAGCAGGACACACTTCCTAAATAATAAAATATTTGCAATAATTATATATATATATATATATATATATATATATTACCGGTGTTCTAGCTCCAGAAATTGCGCTCAACTCCGGTGACGTCACTTCAGCCAAAGTCTGAAATAAAAAATATATTAATTTTAAATACATTTTTACAAATACATTTTTTAATTTGTATTTTAATAGCTGATAATTTAATAATTATATAAATTATTATTTTGTTATGTTAGATTTATTTATTCAACAATATAAAAAATGCAAGATAAATATTAAATTTTTTTAGCAAAGTTTGGTATAGTAGTAAATTAAAAAAAAAAATTATTTAGTTACAGGTTATGTCTGTATATAAACAAAAAAAAGTTAAAAAATTCAATTGGCGAAAGTTTGCAATATATTTAGAAGAGAATAAACCAATACATTTGTAATTCAAAAAATTCGAATCAGTATAAGACAATGTTATCGGAACATGTCAATATAGTTTGAACCATACTTTTAATACTAATAATCCTATTATTTTACATAAGAAAAAGAATGGTGACCTCTGAAAATTTGCTTAATTTTTATTTATTTTATACTCCCTTTGCATTAATTAAAGAAACTTTTACTATTTAAGTACATGACTCTTATCATAATATCATTAATTTTTTTGAAAATAATTTTTCAAATCTTTGACTCTTGGTTTTCATAGTCTATTTGATTTTGTGTTTCCATATTTTTGTTAATCAAATTGTATTGTTTATTTTTGATATGTTAATTAATAAATAAATTGTTATTATTTTTCCTGGTGTGGTACGTATCAATTTTTTACTTGCCATCTTATCTTTTAATCTATAATAAAGTTTAAATATATTTGTATTAAAAAAAATTCAAAAAAAAGGGTTGCTGAATCATGACACACAATCCATGTCGAAACGTATATTAAATAATTTATTATTTATTTGTTTTCTTTTTATTTCGACAATCGGCTGAAAATCAACATTCAAGATATATATATATATATATATATATATGTATATATATATATATATATATATATATAAGATATATATTAAAAATCTACTCACCATGCCCATTTGTGGGCTCCTTCGACAAACCTAGAAAAAAATTTAAATCAGATTAGAAAATCATGCAACTAATTGTAATGTGCATAGAATTAAATATGAATAAAATAGAATAAAAGAAATATATATATATATATATATATATATATATATATATATATATATATATATTTACCAGTGATCCATCAGCAATCGGGCTCATATCTGGTGAAGATACTTCTGCTATTCCCTGAAAAAAATATATTTTGATAAAAAAAATTTTATTATATAATTGTTATATAACTTTATATTCAAGTAAAAAAAGTCTTCTTAAATTGGATAAAAAAGCAAAACAAAACATTTGGGTTAATAGTGAGTAATAGTAACTATATTTTATATATAATATACCTTTATTTTAGCTAAGTATTTCAAAATCTAAGATAGTGCAGAAAAAATAAATGTAAAAAATAAAATATATTTAAACAATTATTTATAAACAAATTAACATTATTTTTTATTCAATTTTAGATTTAAATTATTACTCTCTGTTTATTCAGGACAAACATCATGATCTGTATAAATTATGTAAAAAATGTACATTCAAACATTTTTTTAATCATGTATGTTGTTAAATGTTATTAATATATTTCTGTTAAATAATTAGTAATTACTTCAAGAATTTGGATAAAATATTAACAATGAAGTTTTAAACAACTAAATAAAATTATTATTAACAAATAAAATTTAAACACTCACCATGGCAAATCCTGGCTCCATTTCCTGCAAATGGAACAAAAATATTTAAATAAATTTAATAAAAATTTATATATAAATATATATATATATGTATATATATATATATATATATATATACAATTTATAATTTATACTCACAATACTAGAAATGTCGCCCAATTCTGGATACGACATATCAGCCACAGTCTAAAAAAAAATATAATTTTATTTAATTTTTTAAAAATACAATTGAATTAAATTTTAAAAATAAATTTGTAGTTAATATTAATAAATATTCATTAATTAATGTAATTAAAAATAAATAAACAAAAAAATCTTACAATATCTGCTTCTGCTTGTGCCTGTGCTTGTGCTTCTGGGGTCATCTGAAAAAATAAATATAATAATAAACAAATTATTAATTAGTTAACAAATATTTATTATTAAATGTTTAATACTGTTATAAATTGTATTATATAGTTAGACAAAAAGAATTTTTGAACAGACATTCAGAAATTTGAAAAAAGCAAATTATATCTCTACAACTACAATAAATAAACTTCCATACGTTTCGAGTCTAAATTTGGTTCTTCTTCGAAAGATACACACAAATTCAATAGACAAATACAAAACCACTATAAATTAGCAAAGTAGTTCAAAAATCGTGTTAATACTAATCAATTCATATTAATTCATATGAATATGTTTTGACAAGACAAAGTTTTTCATGCGTACAATGCTCCGAATCTACTAGAGGCACACACACAAGTATCAGTTAGGTGTGTGTCTGTGCCCCTAGTAGATTTAAAGCATTCTCTGTATGAATTCATACGCTTAAGGTTTTTCAAGGCAAAGTTTTTATACGTAAAGTATTTTGAATCTACTAGGGGCACAGACACAAATTTCAATTTATAAGTAGATATTGTAGAAAATAATACAATGAACATATTTGAATAAAACTAGTGGTGCATGTCATTGTGCACACTTGAGGCAAATTGCTGGAACTTTCCGTACCGAAATAAAATATTTGAATAGTAAATGTTTTCAAATAGATTATTATAATTACTGTAACTTTCGTTACTCGTATTTTATAAATGAAATATAAGTGCTTATAAATTGGACGATGACCTTTTTATAAGTTCACATAAAAAGAAAATAAACAAAACTTAATCCAGCGGATTTAAAACGAAAGACCTTACGTCATTTTTCTAAGAATTAAATAAATTAAAATTATTTGTTTGAAGTATGTAATAATATAAGTGAGCTTTAGAACTTTGCAGTTCAAAAAATTTTAATTTAAATTCAGTCAAAAACCCTTAGTGACGCAAATAGATGGATAAAAAATTGTGTTATTAGTATAGTAGTATACGAAAGAGGTTTGAAGTATGAGGGTCAAATTTAGGGTTACATGTGTTTTTTACAAAAATTTAAAATTAATATTCCTTGAAGTAGCCAGCATTTAACACTTTGTTTCATTGAAAATATGTAAAAATATAAAAGGGAAATATTAACTTACAAATCTCGGTGGACGTGGACAAGGACCCATCTGAAATTTTTAATAATATTTTGATTAAATAAAATTTATATATATATATATATATATATATATATATTAAATTTTTTATACAATTTTGATGTTGAAATATGTGAGATTCAGTTTTCAGGGCAATAAATCAATTAAAAAAATTGTATGACTTTAAAACATTTTTATTTTTTCCATACGTTTCGACACATTGTTTTGCGTCATCTTCAGTGGACTATGTAATTGAATTAATCTTAATTATTTCATAATTATAAATGTTCACAATGCACCAAAAAAACAATTCTTGTCACTTTAAATTGAACAATATATAAATTTTCGAATGAGTTTTTTATGAAATTGTAAAGTACATCACGCTATTCTGTGTTCCGATGCACGGGTGCAGACATTCATCAATTTAAACTGCATTTTATCATATTTAATGTCTATTTTTATTCAATATTATGAGTTAATTAAAGTAATAAAATGAAGTTTATAAAACCATAAAATTTTGAAACCTAAATAGTTCTTATTTTAATTATTTTAGAATAAACAAACATAATTGATATATATATATATATATATATATATATAATGTATTCAAAACCTCTTAAAATTTAAAAAAAATATCTATCACTTATATATACCGACGAATTCTAATTTAAAAAAGAATATATAAATTCACTATCTTCTACAAATTTCAATACAAAAATTGCCTCGTGTGAAACACGCTTTAACCTAAAGCCGCCGCAAAACACACACTTTACTTAAAGCGCACGAAAACAACTCAATATGAAAACAGTCACATGTGTTACCTGCTTTAGGTTATAAAGCGACTTCCACACGGGCGATTTTGTAACGCAAACGCATTACGGTATAAAAAGTGCACAAAATCAAGTAAAATCGTTATTAGTAATTATTTATTATACTAAATACAATTTTTTACCGGTGTATATCCTGTGACACGAGGAACTGAATATTCTAGACTCGAAGCTCCACTGTCATCAGGAGCTGATATATCAGCCAAAGTCTGGTAATAAATATAAAATAACAAATTAATATTTTAATGTTTAAAATTAAAATTTTTAAATTGCTAAACTCACCATGCCTAATCTGGGACTGACTGGAGACCTTCTGGGACTCTGCAAAAATATAAGAAGAATTAAACAAAAATAAGCATTTATAAAAAAATTTAATTGTTAAACATTCTAACATTAATTGAACGTATTAAAATGTGCAAAATGTTATGCAAAATAAATAAAATAATTTTAAATATTAACAAAGCATTAATAACTAATTATCAACTATTATTATTAACAAAACTTTCATAAATCCAAGTTTCATATACATTTGGTTTTTATTACCCAAATTATGACTTTTACTCTTAGAATTTTTTGTTAAATAAATGTTACGTAAATGCAACGTTATTATTACGTTCACTTGATTTACAGTATTATTATGTACTAATATAAGTGAGCTTTAGAATTTTGCAGTTCAAAAAATTTTAATTTAAATTCAGTCAAAAACCCTTAGTGACGCAAATAGATGGATAAAAAATTGTGTTATTAGTATATTAATTGTTATTAGTATAGTAGTATACGAGAGAGGTTTGAAGTATGAGGGTCAAAATTTAGGGTTACATGTATTTTTTACAAAAATTTAAAATTAATATTCCTTGAAGTAGCCAGAATTTAACACTTAGTTTTATTGAAAATATGTAAAAATATAAGAGGGAAATATTAACTTACAAATCTCGGTGGACGTGGACAAGGACCCATCTGAAATTTTTAATAATATTTTGATTAAATAAAATTTATATATATATATATATATATATATATATATATTAAATTTTTTATACAATTTTGATGTTGAAATATGTGAGATTCAGTTTTCAGGGCAATAAATCAATTAAAAAAATTGTATGACTTTAAAACATTTTTATTTTTTCCATACGTTTCGACACATTGTTTTGCGTCATCTTCAGTGGACTATGTAATTGAATTAATCTTAATTATTTCATAATTATAAATGTTCACAATGCACCAAAAAAACAATTCTTGTCACTTTAAATTGAACAATATATAAATTTTCGAATGAGTTTTTTATGAAATTGTGAAGTACATCCCGCTATTCTGTGTTCCGATGCACGGGTGCAGACAATCCGTCTGCATTTTATCAATTTAAACTGCATTTTATCATATTTAATGTCTATTTTTATTCAATATTATGAGTTAATTAAAGTAATAAAATGTTTATAAAACCGTCATAAAATTTTGAAACCTAAATAGTTCATATTTTAATTATTTTAGAATAAACAAACATAATTGATATATATATATATATATATATATAATGTATTCAAAACCTCTTAAAATTTAAAAAAAATATCTATCACTTATATATACCGACAAATTCTAATTTAAAAAAGAATATATAAATTCACTATCTTCTACAAATTTCAATACAAAAATTGCCCCGTGTGAAACACGCTTTAACCTAAAGCCGCCGCAAAATCACACTTTACTTAAAGCGCATGAAACCAACTCAATATGAAAACAGTGACATGTGTTACCGGCTTTAGGTTATAAAGCGACTTCCACACGGGCGATTTTGTACCGCAAACTCATTACGATATAAAAAATGCACAAAATCAAGTAAAATCGTTATTAGTAATTATTTACTATACTAAATACAATTTTTTACCGGTGTATATCCTGTGACACGAGGAACTGAATATTCTAGACTCGAAGCTCCACTGTCATCAGGAGCTGATATATCAGCCAAAGTCTGGTAATAAAAATAATAAGGAAATTTAATATTTAAAATTGAAGCAAAACTCCTTTAGACGCAATTCAAAACAATTAATTTTGTTTTATATTATATTAAAAATAGCTAAACTCACCATGCCCAATCTGGGACATACTGGAGACCTTCTGGGACTCTGAAAAAAAATTATTAAGAATTAAACAAATTATTAAATATTTTAGGCATTTATTGAATCTATTAGGAATATGACATCTGTTATGCCAAAAAAAAACAAAATAATTTGAAATATTAACAAAACATTAATAACTAAGTATTAACCATTATTATTATTAATTAAATATATATATATGAATAAAACTATAATAAATCCAAGTTTCATATGAATTTGATTATTATTACCCAAATTATGAATTTCACTCTTAGAACTTTTTGTTAAATAAATGTTACGTAAATACAACGTTTTTATTAAGTTCGCTTAATTTACAGTATTATTGAAAATTACTAATTTTAATAATTAATTTAAAGATATAACTAAGTAATAAACTAAATAATAAACTTACCATAGATGGTCGACGTGGAGGAGGACCTTTCTAAAATTTTAAATATTATTATTAATATTGCTAAAAAAAATATTTATATTTTTAAATATTATTATAACTTACAGGAGTTCCTGGAACGGCTAGAGGTACAGAATAGTCTCTCAATAACTGTAAAATGTGAATAGTATTGAAATGTAGTTTTTAAAAAAAATTAAGTATAATATATATATATATATATATATATATATACATATATATATTAACAAGTAGTAATCGGGCATAACAATTATTTGTCAAGATTAAATTTTGTTCTGACAACACTAGAGTGAAAGAGAGCGATGCATACACAACAGTGTGCGCGAGTGAGTAAGATATATGCATAGTGTTGTACATACTCAATATAAATATCGAAACGACCGCTCTAATATATATTAAAATATGTGAATTTGGTGCTGATATATCTTGAAAAGCTATGTTAATTCGGGCAGTAACACCAAGTAAAAAAACTGTTATGCCCGATTACTACTTGTTAATACATATGTAAACATCAAATTCAGAATCATACAATATATATATATATATATATATATATATAATAACTCAAGTCAATATTTTGCAGATATAATATAATTTATTTACTAATAACTATTTTATTATTTATTTATTATTTAATTTATTTACTATAAACTTTTTTATGTTTAGCTTATTTTAATTATTTTTAAATTTAATTAGATTATTTGTTGCAAGTATTTTTTGAAAATTCAATAAGTATTTTAATAAGCTATACAATATAATTATTTTGTTTAACAAATTTTAGATTATTTTATGATATTTTAACCAATTTAAGTGTCTCATACTACAATTATTATCATTATTTTTTTTTAAACAAATAAGTATTTTTACAATATGAGTATTTTCTTTTACAAATTTTTAGGAATTTTAATGTAAGAAATATTTTGTTTCACAATTTTTTAAGTGTTTTTAAATTGTGAGTTTTAATATATATATATATATATATATATATATATATATATATATCTTGATAGTTATATATATATATATATACATATATATATTATATAATTATATATAATTATATTATATATAATTTATAAATTTTACCGATGACGGCCGACGAGGTGTCTCCATCGCAGCCTAGAAAACAAAATAAATTCATAATACATAAATTATTAATTACATAAATATATTTTCAAAATCCAACTCACCATTCTTATTTGTTGTAAACGAGCATCCTGAAAAATATATAAAAACAAAATTAATTAAAAAAAAAAAACAAATACATTAATAACTATAAATTATCAATTTAAGGACCTATTCTGCCGCACAACAGACGAATGTTATGGCAAGGCCATGTTCCATATATTATGCTACTGAATCATACTGAATACTGTCAAAATGTCATGTATTTGCTGTGCATTCAGGCGTTTTACACACAAACTGCAATGTCACTCGTATGTTATTAAGCTGAGTCAGAAAGACCCTGTTATCTAACA